AATTTTGTAAGTTCTTTGGCTTCGTTTTCCTTAGCTTTGCCATTTATGTCGTTCGTTATACACCCCTAAGTTTTACCCTTGACTTATCAATGGGTCATATCAAAATCCATAATGTTGGCCCCCAATCTGCCCATGACCTATACATGAGATCAACATATCTATGAGCATCAGTGAAGGCAATATTCTTAAATGCATTAAGGAATGGCATTTACGAAGTTATAAAAATCTTTTTTGTTTTATTCCTTCGATTAACCAAAGTTTCGTCTATCAAAATAAGTTTGGGATGTGGTTTCACTTACTCCTTAATGTTATAGATGTGCATACTTTAAGTTGTCTGTTGATTTCATGGGGTTTTCGACATATACAAATCTTTTGAAACAGGAACTGGATATCAACTGTGCTCTCATTTTCCCCATACCTGTCTACTGATTTTCCACAATTACCCATGGAGTTGGGGAAAATAAGAACCATCCTATATATGAACTCTAGGCTTACAGGTGAAAGTTTGTGTTTACAAGTCTTGTCTTTGGATGCACTGAAGTGTTGTGACCACGCAAATGGGAAATCTATGTATATTATTGCAAACAAGACAGTGAATCCCAACTCATCCTTCCACCGTTATTGCAGCTGTGGATTATATTTGCAACAATTTCGTAGTTGCTAAAACTAACCAGGTTTCTTAACTCGAATGTGCAATTGATTAAGAATCTAATTAATTTCAACTGTTGTGGAAGCGGGTGGCAGGGGATTCACACTAGATAGGAATAAGCTGTACTATCTATTCTACATGGTTCTACATCTAGAGACGTTACATTAAGACTAAGGATGAGAACCATAAAGGTCTGCCCTTGTTCTAAATATGGATATGATGGAACTAGGAGGAAATTGTACAGAGATGAAGGATACATGTTACTAAAGTGAAAAAGCTTATTGAAAGAGACTTGCAGGTAATATTTGTATTGACCATATAGTGAATCTGAAACCAGCATATTCTTCAAAGTCTAAAAAAAGGTATATAGAAAAAAGGTTTCTATTAATGCAGAAATGAAAAGTTTGGCAACTGTTAATTGCCCAAAGTCCTGCAGTGGCATATACAGTTCACCTGCCAATTTCTCCTTCATCTATTCAACTTTTGAAAACTCAGCAGTTCTATATTAACCTGGCAACCATGTAACAAGTTACAAAAATGAATTGAATACATCTTTCTTTTCCATAAACATAATGAAATGTGTGCATAGTTTGCACTCAGAGAATCAAAGTTGAAGGAAAAGATCACAATTGTGTCAGGCCCTATATCATATATCAAGCCATGGCCCCCCTTTACATGATGATGGGATTTCAGGCTTCCACAGGACAAGAACATACCAGTATGTTGATGATAGCATTGCGAATGGTATGATCCCCAAGTACGTACAAGGGATCGGTTTTCACCTTTAAAGCCCGACATGGTTTGGGTCCAGGTTACCTAAAGAATTGCCTTCTCCCATACCATCCACCCCACACACTTCAGTCTTCTGGGGAGTGTCTGCTCCAACCAGCTAGAACCCAACTGATAACTGCCACCCACAGGACCTTTTCATCAGCTGCCCACGACTGTGGAACAACCTGCTGGAAGAACTCTGACAGTTAAATGAGCTGTTGGAATTTAAAAATCATGTAAATACCTCTCTCTTCTGGTCAGCCTACCCAGACAGTCTTTAAACATGAATTTTAAGTGTCCTTTTGTTTGATATCCGTTTTGTGTGTCTTGGTATGTATTCTGTAAAGAAATGTTTTGGTATGTAACTTTTATGGAGGTACATTTTAGTATGTGAATTTGCAGTGTTTTTGCTGTGCTTATGTATTTTAATTACTTTGGAACCTGCCAGATTACTAACTGGAGCAAGTTAAACAGAAGGGTCAATCCTTCTGTTTAAACAGCTCCACTGGCTGCCAATAAGTTTCCAGTCCCAATTCAAGGTGCAGGTTATCACCTATAAACCCCTAAACGGTTTGGGACCTGCCTATCTGTGTGACCGCATCTTCCCCTACGAACCCACACCATCTCTGGGGAGGCTCTTCTCTTGCTCCCACCCCCCATCTCAGGCACGGTTGGTGAGGACGAGAGAGCCTTCTCGGTGGTGGCCCCTCAGCTCTGGAACTCCCTCCCCAGGGAGATCAGGCTAGCACCCTCCCTATCCACGTTTCGTAAGAAACTAAAGACGTGGAAGTTCCGTTGTGCATTTGATTAAACAACTCCCTTTACTGTTGGCTCTAATCCATGGCCTAAATAGACTATGTCCCTGCACCTTGCTGCCGCACTTTTTAAAGTCATAATGTCCCTGTTATAATCTGCTCTATCCTTATATTGCAACATGATCTATGCACTTTACTGATTACCCTTTTTTCTAACCTGTTGCACTCCAGCCCACCTCCCACAGCGCGACTTGAAGTATGTTCTTGGTTGTTGCTTATGATGGTTGTTTTATTATTGGTATAATGTTGTTTTTATGTTGTCTTATATTACTGTTATATTTTATATGCTATGTTTTAACTCTGTGTTACTGGGCGTGTAAGCCGCCCCGAGTCCCTTCGGGGAGATGGAGGCAGGGTATAAAAATAAAGTTGTTGTTGTTATTGTTATTATTATTGCCATGATGAGAGGCAGGTAAGAAATAAAATGATGACGATGATGATGATGATACTGGCATTTGTTGAGGAGCCGGAAAAAATGCACAAAACATTTTAATTCAGTGAAAGGAAGCTACTAGGTAGCAGCAATAGTTTGATGCTAGAGGAGGCACAGATACAACAGCACTTAGTAATAAGTGGAAGGAGCGAATGGCAAATCACTACTCAATGTTCTTTACCTCAAAAGCCCTGTGGAGCAAGAATTAGTGCCAGAAAAGGAGACACTGAACCAGTTATGGGGGCAAAGCAAAGGACAAATACAAATAGTGGTGTATCTAATTATGTAAATGGACTCAGGCCAAAAGGATATTGATCTATGGACATGCACAGATGTGGAAGCAAAGTCACAATGAATATATACAAAGAGCTTGTGAGAAGTTTGAATTGAAGTCATATAGAAATTAGAGGAAAAAGGATAAGGAGAAAATAAATGGAATGATTGACAACACAATACTTGGAATAAGTGAGTTAAAATGGACAGGTGTAGGACATTTTCAATCCCATGATTACAGAGAATTTGGTTTTGGAAATGACAACGTAAGTCCATTTGCAACGGGGTCAGGTAAGGCTGCATTTTAATTACCCTATCTATATAATTTATATGCAGAGAATAACAGAATGATTAGATTGTGAGGAAAGCGTTATGAAAACTGAAGAAACATCCAAGGAATATCAAGTAAGATATAAGTAAGTACATCCAAGGATGCTTGCCATAGATGCAGGCGAAACGTCAGGAGAGAATGCCTAGAACATGGTCATATAGCCCGAAAAAACCTACAACAACCCAGTGATTCCGGCCATGAAAGCCTTCAACAATACATTAAGTACATCCCATTGTCAAGCACAAAATAACAAATACCTGGAATAACTAACAAAAGTTAAGAAAGTACCCAATCAAGGTTACCACTGAACAGTAACAAAACAAAAATAATAACATAACTTAAATATTTTTACAGATACCATAAAATGCAAAAAAAACAACCCAAAAAACCCCCAAAAAATAAAATAAAATAAATGGGCCTGAAAACAAATTAAGCCTGAGCTTCCCCTAGAAGCCAAAATAACTAAATGGACACTTTGGACACATCCCGAAACAACATAACTTGATATAAAAGACAAGAATGTTTGATAAAATGAAATGTAGAAGGAAAAAGAGAAGATCACTTTACAGATGGATGGATTGATTCAATCAATCAGGAAGCCACAACCTTGAGTCTGAAAGACCTCAGCAGGATTGTTGAAGTCTAGGGTTCTTAATGGGTTCTTGTTCAGTGTTTTGCTCCAAGTTGAAACCAGCATAACCAGTAAGCAATAACAACCATTGCAAATGAACGCTAATAAAGAATAAAAAGTTAAAGAAAAAATAAAGAATTTCTGCCTAAGCTTGTCACTTTAGTCAAATTATATTTTTACAATTCCAATTAAAATGGGCCTTTTACAAATATAAAGCATTTTTATCAGTACTGGGCAGTTGTTATATCTATGACACACTTCAGAAATAATGATGCTGCCCTTCAATGTGTATTTTTTAAAAAAAGATAAATTACTATGTAAATTTTGGTCCTCTAAGGTTACTTATATGCCATTTTCAATTTCCTTTCGTTGTTAAAAGCACAGTGTGATAAATAGCAAGGAATTCATAACTAAAAGTAAAATCAATGGCTTAAATCCATAAGCATGGGATGTTCATCACTATCCACCTGATGTAACATTTTGTACTACCAGACATCCTGTTCCCAATGATTTTCCGACTCTGTAGTTTAGAGTGTAGATGGGGCTGGAGAGGGAATGTGGAAATATGTTTCCAGATTCCTTGATAGAAAAGGGCTTTCAGTGCAATCCCAGCATTAGATGATGCCTATTAACACTGTTTTATGAAAAAACTAGTATAAGTAATATTTTGATTTCAGTTCATCCTCCATGGAGCTACTAAAGAAAAAGACTCAAAACAACTATCAGTGGCAACTACTTAAGGGAGCTAGACTTACATAATTCTGAACTGATAGAGACATCTCTTCTAGGTAACAGCTAAAATCTGTGCAGCCTATTTATAGAAATTCCCCACATTACATTCAGTTCAAAAGAGAGAACTTCTTCATTGGCACATTTCCTTTGGGCACCTTTACAATTTTATGTCTCTCTCCAGTTTAGTAAAAATTGATTTAATTATCCAAAACACTTAAAGATAACACACTGAAAATATCCGCAATCTAAATTTTAAAATCTGGATGTATGCTAATTAATACCATATGATCACAAAACTGAGGTATATCAAATGTATCAAGTCTGACTTTACCAAACCAGGAATGTACATTTCCCACAAAACCATGGACAGAAGAAAATTATTTTAATTGGAAAACTGTCTTTGACAAATACACAGTTTGCCTTTTTAAACATAACCTTGAAAGGCTGGAACCAGACTTCGTCTGATGTAGTATTGACAACAATGGGGTAGTTTAACAATTGATCAACTTAATTCACAATTAAGTTTAGTAGAAACCAAATGCAACTTAGACCAGCTATCTCCAGCTCCCCCACATCAAAAAAACAAAAAACCAAATGCAAAAATCTACATGTAAAATGCTATGAAACAACTCCTTTCTAACAAAAAAAATTGATCTGAAAAATAAAATTGGCAAAATATACAGAACATTTATGTAGAAGTTCTTTTTCTCTAGCATGTTCCATCACTGGGGTCTGCCATTGGGAACTTTTGATAAAGGCTACTATAGGCCCTTATACACATGTGTGCTGAAGCATTTCCATAAAAATATAACAAGTCCATATGTATTGTATTTACAGTTCTCCTTCAGACAATGGCATACTGTTCATATAAAAGATCTCTAATTTTATAGAAGTCTTCACAGAGACAGCCTTCCAGTCCAATCCGACCCGTTTCAGTCTGCAAGAAATCACATTACATTTAATTAACTACTGACTTTAAAGGAGAAATTTACTGTAACGGGAACATAAAGAGAATAGAGAAAAAGAATCTACTTACCCTGCGAACAGCCACCAAGTTATTACAGACAAGGACCCCTCCTACAAATTCGGCTTGAATTCCTTCACGCAGAAGAACCTGCTTAAAGTCAGACAACCTGGGCTCATTCATGAAGACAGACTGATGGCCAGGAACCTTTTGTGAAGAAAGTATAAACTAGATGTTAATAGGAAGGTATAAGGTGAATGAAGAAAACACTCCTACAAACATCAAAGTAGCTCTGTACAAAGTGCAAAGGCTCAATTCAGGAAGATAGAACTGTGACAAAACTATTCCATTAACTGATTTTTTGGGGGGTTGACATTATAGTCCAGAATTGGATCTGTATAAGCTTTATTGCAACTGGTAGAAAGTGTACATAACTATAAGCTTTACAGAGGAACTGATCAGTGCTTTTCACACACATGCATTTCACACACTGGCTGCTGATAAATTTCCGGTCCTAATTCAAGGTTCAGGTTATTACCTACAAAGCCCTAAAAGCTTCAGGCCCTGCCTATCTTTTTGACCCCATCTCTCCTATGTACCAACGGGGAGGCCCTCCTCTCACTTCCACTTTCATCACAAGCACAGTTGGTGGGGACAAAGGAAAAGGCTTTCTTGGTGGTGGCCCCCCAACTTTGGAACACCCTCCCCAGGGAGACAGTGACATACAAGCATTTAAAAATCAATGGCCAGGCCAAATGTAATAGATTAAAATTAAAATAATGCTGACGTGACGTGGACATTTTCAGAGAGAAGTGAGGGAATGCAGTCAGTCCTAAATCAATGGTAAAGTGCATTTTGAGGACATATTGCTGAGAGTTTTCCTTATTCTGGGAAGGCACACTGGAACAACCACGTTTTCAGTCTCCTCCTAAAGACTTTGATAATCCTTTGATTTTAGAAAATGTTTTACATACAGCGTATAGAAGAAAATATACCTAGATTTCAACACTGAAATAAATGCAAATAATTTCCTTTGAAGACACAGTACAACCTCAAAGTAATAAACACATATCTGAAGGAAAAACTGTACCTCATTTGGAGGCAAGGGTTCCAAAGTAGGAATTATCTCACTCTCTTCGCATATTTCCTTGTCGTCATCTCCAAAGAGACTCTTGATGGCCTTCTGCTGTGCTACAGTGCTGGTTTCAGCAGAGGAAGTCTCCACTTGCATTTCTGTCTCTTCGCCATCATCCCTCAGTTCCCCTTCTTCCAAAATCACCCCAGTGTCCACTTTGGATACCCGCATGTCCAAGACTCCATCTATCCATGCCAGTTCAGCATCTTTTGCTTTACAAAACTGAAGGGAACTGACGAGAGAATCTTTTAACCTAACCTGATCCACAAGTGAAAAAGAGAAACAAATGAAGACCAGTCTCTGTGTTCAACATCGCTATGTGCATTAAATCAATGGAACAGCTTTAGAGATGCAACAATAATAGAAACAGACCATAAGAAGTAATATATCATGGCATTGATTTTTGAAACAATTGTGAGGACTGAGATAGGCAACCAAAAGAATCTTAGTAATAACATTGATTACTGGGAGAGAGTGTATCATTTCTACAGTCTTGTGATGCTGACTGTCCTATTTAGTCAAGCAGATGGCTGTGAAAATCAGGAAGGAGGTGTAATTGATTACATACACATTTTAGTTCATTGTCTGAACCATTAAAAATCCACCATGCAATACCTTATCAATATTAGCAGTATTCTAAATTTGAGGGGGACTGTCGGTAAAAATACACAGCAAATTGTTAATCTTGCAGAACAGCATGTACAAAAATGCAAGTGTGTTAGGGAAAACTGCATAGAAAAAAAAATCTATTTGAAGAAATGCACAACAAAAACACATACTAATTTTCGTGTAGGATAAAAAAAACAAATGTAGAAATGGGATGAAGCTATCAGATTTATTCACTACAAAAGACTCTATATGTTATTTTTATAGTAGCAGGAATTTTAGGCTTGACTAACATCTTTTTCCTTCCTCTTACAAAGAAATGGGAAAAGTCTATCACACAACTAAATCAGAAGAATTGTAAACTTATTTGTCTTATTTATTCAACTTATATTTGGCCTTTCTCTCAAAATGGGGCTTCTCACCAATGAGGTGATTTAAACAGTAGATACTCCTAAAGCACAGGTGTGTTTTTGTATGGTTGCTGTTTGTGTGTCTTCAGGTTCCTTCCAAGTTATGGTGGTATCATGGGGTTGTCTTGGAAAGATTTGTATAGAAGGGATTAGCCTTTGCTTTCCTCTGAGACTGGGAGAGTGTGACTAGCACAAGGCTATATGCTTAGTTTCCATCTCCCAAGTGGGAATTTGAACCCTGTTCTCCAGTGTCACAGTCTAACACTCAAACCAGTACATTGTGCTGGCTCTCATTTTTGTAAAATGGCTGCAATGCTATATTTTATTATATATTTGCAACTACTTTTTCTGACTTGCCAATTAAATCACAGCCAAATCTCCTCTGTATAATGGTGCTGGGAGAACATTTATGTGTTGGCAGAACATATTTCATGAAGAAGATGCCAAAAGAAATATCATACAGGGAATTTTGTAGAGAGAAAAGGTTTGGGGTATAAAGTATCAAAAACACACACACACACAAGGTAATGTGGCAACATAAATATCCGCTCTCCTTTCGAATATAATACAGCCAGTGAATATAAAAGTCTTTAGTACCTGAAAACACACACACACACACACACATATATATATTCAGGTACTATTTTTCTATTATTGTTTCCAAGAACTAATAATATAGATATTAGAATAATAGTTGGAAGAAACTACATCCAGTCGATACAGTTAAAGTGTAATTTTTATGCGTGTGTATGTACATATATATACATCCCCCCCCACACACACACAAACCAAAATATATAAATATACTTAACTAAATATATAGGCAGGCATTTTATATAATACAAAATAATACATTAAAAATAACATTTATTATTAATATCACCATCGCAGTTAATCATCATAATCTAAAAATAGTCAGCACATCATATCTATGGATTCAACTGTCCATAGCTTAAAAATATTTTTATAAACATCCCAAAGCTAACCTTTTATGCCCATTTTATAGAAGGGATTCCATTACTCTATGCCTCTGTATATAATGAGACTTGAGCACCACAGATTTTGGTATCAAAGAGGGTCCTAAACCACAACCCAGTGATACAGATGAAGGTGGCCTTTCATGTAATCAGACCCCACAACTGTGTAAACTTTGGTCTAAACTATGTCAATCCTCACTAGAATCAAGTATGTGTTGACATACTCTTCAACAACAATTCTGTTCTAGTTCGGAATAACCAACAGAGTTGTATAGGTCCACGTAAGCAGTTAAACCTAGACAGAAATACAAAAAACCCAAAAAAAAAAAAAAAACCCCAAAACAAACAAAAAGTGCAACAGGTATAATAAACACTGTCACTTAACATGCTTTGTGTTGGGGCTAATGTGACCTGTCAGATGTTGTTGGAGTGCAAGTCTCACCAAATTTGACTAACATGGCCAATGTCAAGGAATGCTGGAAACTGCACCCAAACTTTTGGACGGCTACATGAGACCCACCATTGTCCTGGCATTAACTTATATGTCACCTTGAACAGTATTTCCAACATGATACTTGATTAAAATTATTCTTCCTTCTCTCACCCTCTCCGGAAAGAACCAGCACCTCAGTATTTGAAACACAACTTTATGACTCCATTTTATTACTTGTATTGTTATTGAACCCTTTCTGTTCCATTCTGCAAACTTACCTGGTATATGTGAGTCTCGCTGGTCGCATCAACCGTTTCATGCAGTTTGGGCAAGTAAACTTTAATGTCCTTTCCACCAAAAGCTCGGCAGGACTCCGCCAGATCCTGACTGGCTTCAGGTGGCCCATGGACAATGACCAATTGCCGCGGCTTCATCTGATTAATGATTTTTTTAATGGAGTCTCCATCTGACCGACCTTCATAATCGATATATGTAACACGAGCTCTACATTTTGACGTTAGGAAAAAAATCTATTCAGTGATTTTACCTATCAAACTTGTTATTGACGAGCTTAAATGCAAGGCAGAGAAGCCAAACCCATAAATGACAAAGCTGTAATAATTCAAGCACTTTCACATGAATTAAGACCTTTTGTAGCTAATAATGCAATTGTTAGCCTAAGACAGTCTCTTGTGAATTGTATAGCGCAAATGCAACATTTGTGCATCTTAATTTTGCCAGTCTCAACCTTGTTTAACTAAAAACTTTAGCTACAGAAAAACATACAGCAATAACTCTACTAATCCACAGAACACCTGATAGTATTTCACTTAAGAAAAACTTTTTTTGGATTTTCAAGGAACAGTTGGATAGAGACCCCTCGCTTAATGGTCCCATGATAATTAGATCGAAGAGGACATATATTTGTATGAATTAGAAACAGGTTAACAACAGAAAGGAGAGCAACAACTTACTTTTTACAATAAAACAAATCAGGTTGGGTTGCTGTGAGTTTTCCAGGCTACATGACCATGTTCCAGAAGCATTCTCTCCTGACATTTCACCCACATCTATGGCAGGCATCCTCAGAGGCTGTGAGGTTTGTTGGAAACTAGGCAAGTGAGGTTTATATATCTGTGCAATGTCCAGGGTGGGAGAAAGAACTCTTGCCTGCTTGAAGCAAATATGAATGTTGCAATTGGCCACCTTGATTAGCATTCAATGGCCTTGCAGCTTCAAAGTCTGGCTGATTGCTGCCTGGGGGATCCTTTGTTGGGAGATGTTAGCTGGCCTTGATTCTTGTCTGGAATGCCCCTGTGTTCTGAGTGTTGCTCTTTATTTACTGTCCTAATTTTAGAGGGTTTTTTAAAATTCTGGTAGTCAGATTTTGTTCATTTCCACAGTTTTCTCCTTTCAGTTGAAATTGTCCACATGCTTGCGGCTTTCAATGGCTTTTTTGTGTAGTCCGACATGGTAGTTGTGATCAACCAAAGAAGTCAGCCTTAACACAGCACTTGATGGACCAATCTGGACACAGCATATTATTCGAAAACACAGAAATGCTGGACTACTCTAACAAATGCCATGTCACAAGAATGTGGACAATTTCAACAAAAAGGAGGAAACCATGAAAATGAACCAAATCTGGCTACCATTATTAGAGCATTCTAAAATCAGGACAGTAAACAATCAGGGCCAGCTAACACACACCCCCCCCCAATAAAGGACCTCAGGCAGCAATCACCCAGGCTTTGAAGCTACAAGGCCATTAAATGACAATCAAGGTGGCCAACTGCAACATTCACACTTGCCTCAAGCAGACAAGAGTTCTTTCTCCCACCCTGGACATTCCACAGATAAATAAAGCTATCTGTCTAGTTTCGAACAGACCTCACAGCCTCTGAGGATGCCTGCCATAGATGTGGGTGAAACGTCAGGAGAGAATGCTTCTGGAACATGGCCAAACAGCCTGGAAAACTCATGGCAACCCAATGATTCCAGCCATGAAAGCCTTCGACAACAGACAAATCAAATCCTTTAGCCCTTTGTGGAGACTTAAAAGGACAAAGAGCCTACAGAAGATGCCCTTTCCCTAGCAGAACTTTTTGTTCCATCAACAAATTGCCTAAAGTAGAGAACATTTCAAAAATCGATTGATTTTTTTTTTGCCAGTGGTGCTTTTTATCTCCATTAATGTGATGGAGGTTAAAACATATCTATCAGTTTCTTCAGACAAAAAGTTCTAGGGAAGCTGATTTGGTGTCTCAAGCCCTTAAAACCACATACATTACTTTGATGTGGACATTTTTCTCCTTTAATAGTATTGGAATTTATCTTGGATGCAGCAAGAAAGTGCAAAAAACATGGCCTAGCTCCAGTAGCTGGCCTCAATGGCAGTAGACTCGCTAAATCAATTCCTAATTGGTAAGCCACTTATGCCGGTAAATGCCAGCATGGTGCAGTGATTTGGACATGGGAGTATGACTCTGGGGGCGAGGGTACAAATCCTTACTTTGCCATGGAAACATAATGAGCAATTCACATTTCTGGCCATCCACTAAGTTACTTTAAGCTCAGGAGAGGCCTTTTTCTAAAACAGGATGTGCCTTCTAGCTGTTAAAAAAGTCTTCCTGGATATAAAATTGTGCAGGAGGCACCGCCCCCTAGAGGTTATTTGGGGAGGTGTGTTTTATTTTACTTTTTTATAGGGGGTGAAGTGGGAATATGTGATTTCCAAGATCTCCCAGAAATCTAATGCTCCCACAATTGCCTATCACCCCTTTAGAATAATGTCAATCTGGCTTCCAAGACATAAATTACTTTGATTTCCTATTTTTGGAATAAGAGGAGGGAGTATACCCTGTGGGATCTCCTGCAGCTCATGCAAGTTGCTTCTGGTGTGAGAGAATGGCTGTCTTGCAGAGGTGTTGCCCAGGGGACGCCGGTATGTGTTACCATCCCGTGGGAGGCTTCTCTCATGTCCCTGCATGGGAAGCTAGAGCTGACAGGCGGGAGCTCACCCCATCTTGCATATTCAAACCACCGACCTTCAGGCCAGCAGTTCAGCCAGCACAAGGGGTTTAACCCATTGCACCACCGCGGCTCCTCCTCCTACTCATCATAACTGTCAATACTATCAAAAACTGTATCCATCTGGGACAGGTTCTCTCTCCAGAATATTATTTATTTATTATTTATTTATTTAGAGCTTTTATAACCCGATCTTCTCGACCTTCGAGGAGGGACTCAGGCCGGCTAACAACAGAGAATCAATTTACAAATAAACTAAAGCATAATAACATCATAGTATATTAATACATTAAAACACATTAAAATACAGATCAAGAATAGGGCTTTGGGGCACTGGTTCCAGTCCTTACCAAAGAGGTACATTCAAAAGGAAGTGAGGATAAATCCTGTTAATCACCCTGGCTAATGACACAAACATTAACTGGGGTGGGGTGGGGGGTTGAAGAAATCACAGTATGAAAACTCAGTATTGATTTCACATAATATCAATTGGTGGGGAGAGGGATAGCTTGCAATGAACTAACCACAATTACTCAGTTGCTAACAGTGCCCTCTAGTGGCCACCTGTCTTCAGTGCACCTACTTTATTTCCATTGATTCTGTTGCGGAAATGCATTTGGTAGGAACATCGGATAAATCCTGGTCCATAGGTTCTTCTCCATTGGTAAGCCCTGATTCTAATTTGTTTTTTTCTTCCTCTGTTGCCTGCAGTTCTGGAACAAGGAAGTCTTCAGGTCTAAACAAGGGAGGATTATGAATACAAATTAAAACACTATCACGAAAATAAGGAATCAGACAGAGCTTTTTGAGCCCAAAGTACTATGAAGACACAGAGAAATCTCAGTATTGCATTATTTACTGCTTTGGGTTCACTTCTGGCGAAGTTAGGTAATTCTGCTTCATTAACTGGATTATTAGATTCTGATGAGAAACAGTGGCATTTTTATGCTCAAAGAAGTCACGACTTAGGCAGAAATATGGAATTGTGCTTAAAATGCCGCATGGTCTATCACATAACTTGGATATACTAACCAATAGAAAGGTGGCAGGAAATTTTAAGTCAGCCCATGGAAGAGGTGCCATTAGATTAGTGACACAACTCCAATTTTTTATGTCTGTGTTACAAAGATTTAGGCATAATTTGCACACTGTTATCCATGGCAGTTGATGTGGGGAAATTCTGCATCATTACTGTCAGTATTTTGTGGAATAACAAGAATAGAAACTGCTTTGGTCAGTCAACATTTTAATACTGAAAAACACTATGTTAAGTGCATCACTAGATACAAAGAGAAGAATTAAACCAGCCCATTATCTGTATGATTACTTTCCTCTGCCATGTAAATAAACTAATTTGTAAAAATAATAAAAAATGTGTGATGAAAAGGTAGACAATATATATAGATCTTCGCTTTGCTTAACAATGTAATACTATCACTTAAAAAAAGCTGATTCAGATCCATAAATTAATATTAGAGGCCCCAAAATACAACATTTCAAAATGAGTACAAAGAAGCCTCCCTTTCTGCTCTTCTCATTTACTCCTCTCATTTGCTCCTTAAAAATGGATTTGGGGACTGCATAGAAAGATATAAGGTGCAAAACATGTATTTTTTTAATGAAGACGGTGTTGGGTTTTTGAGGTTCTGCACACTTTACACATGCGAGAATAATATGCCTTTTCTTCTCCCCCACTTACTTGATAATTTCTCCATATTCATCCCATTTAATTCTCTCTTCTGGAGCTGGGAACATGGGATATGCTTTTTTGGCCTGCTTGAAGAAGCTTCCTTTCCGGTTTCCTTCCCCTTTCATCATCAGGTCGTGTTTAGTTTTATGAACCGATGGCTGATCAATGTCCTCTTCAGCATCACTTTCATCACTGGAATCAATGTCTGCCCTAAAACAGGGGCCCAACATTGAATATTTATAGCAAAACAGTAAATTGATGTTCCTTTACAACATTCCATGTTGTCTCAAGTGTTTTCTCATTTGGAAGGTAGACCTGCAATCACTTAAAGGCATATCCCGTTCAACATCCTATTTCCTACATTGCCCAGCCAGATACATACAGGAAACTCAGAAGGACATGAGGGAGAAAGTCCTTCTCCTGAGCAATCTGATACAGGAGGGAATATACTACTATTACATCTAATAGTCACCAAACAGATTGATTCTCTCTGAAAATGTCTGAATCCCTTAAAACCAATGTAAGCAATTTACAACCAAGGGACCAAATTCCATGGTTTAACTGTGTCAAATTTCTAAAGTTTCCCACCATTCTACTCATGCATGACCTTGAGTATTGAGAGAGAGCGATCAAAACTCTTCTATTCAATTCTTTCACACTGTGCCAATTTTACATAGCTTTAATCAGGTAACTTTTTCCTCACTGTTTCTGTACAGGAGATAGCCTCGGATGCCCTGATTTTTGGCTCCTTGCTTTTGCCCGTGCCTTCCACAAAGATAAAGCAATGAATGCTCAGAGAAAATTCACTGAATTCATTTTTCTCTACCATACAGTATTAAGGAAACAAATACTGTACACTGGCACTGTATTTTTAAATGATCATTTTTAATTTTCCATTTTTTTTTTGTCGTGTCAGGAGTCGCTCCTGTTATTTTCCAAGTTAACACAGAGATCAAGTTACACATATTTTAAGACATATTTATATCAGTGGGTTGCTGTGAGTTTTCCAGGCTGTTCCAGAATCATTCTCTCCTGACATTTCGCCCACATCTATGGCAGGCATCCTCAGAGGTTGTGAGATCTGTTGGAAACTAGACAAGTGAGGTTTATATATCTTTGGAACGTCCAGGGTGGGAAAAAGTACTCTTGTCTGCCTGGGGCAAGTGTGAATGTTGCAATTGGCCAGCTACCAGTATTTAAAAAACTCTGGAATCCGAACAGTAAATAAAGAACAACACTCAGAAGACAGGGCAATTCCAGACAAGAAACAATCAGGATCAGTTAACATCTCCCAACAAAGGATTCCCACAGGCAGGAAACAGTCAGGCTTTGAGGCTGAAAGGCCATTCAATGCTAATCAAGGTGGCCAATTGCAACATTTACACTTGCCTCAAGCAGACAAGAGTTCTTTCTCCAACCCTGGACATTCCACAGATATATAAATCCCACTTGCCTTGTTTCCAACAGGCCTAGTTTCCAACAAACCTCTGAGGATGCCTGCCATAAATGTGTGTGTAACGTCAGGAGAGAATGCTTCTGGAACATGGCCATACAGCCTGAAAAACTCACAGCAACCCGGTAATGCCAGCCATGAAAGCTCTCAACAAGACATATTTATACCAGTGACATTAAAGTATCTACAAAAACTACCTCAAATAATTCCAAGAACCCGTTTGTGGTTTTCTATGCATTCATAATAATAATAATAATAATAATAATAATAATAATAATAATAATTTAATTTCTATACCACCCCATCTCCCCGTGGGGACTCAGGGCGGTTTACAACAGAAAATTGGCAAACATTCAATGCCGACATAACATTCATACTCACTCTTTTGACTGTTCCAACTTTTTAGCTGCTTCTTTTTTAAGTTTCTCTTTCTCCAGGTATTCTTCAAGTTCCTTTCCTTCCAATTTAACCCTTTTTCTCAACTGAAAGAAATGAAAATACTAATATATGTGTGTGTGTGTGTGTGATAAAATATGGTAATTAGCCTAACACTGAATATGAATTGCCAATTTACAAATTTATTAACAAAAGCTTTTAGAATGGTTCTAAGCCTATTTTACATACACAAGTGAATCATTTATATGCATATAAGATTAATATATGTGCATGACAGACACATTTACAAATATGTATATTACACAGGGATATACTGTGAAATCAAGACTGCCCAAAATTTACTGCATTGCAAAGGAACTGGCAAAACCACCTATTCCTTTTCTAAGAAAACGTTATGAAATCCATGGAGTCACAGGTCACATAAAGGCACATACATGCACAAACACAAATATGTACTATGACATACGAAAAAAAATATTCTCAAAATAGTTCATTCTCGCAGAAATCCAGTGTTCAAAGCAGAATATGTTTCCCAGAATACCACTCACCCCATAAAAGGATTTCTGCTCTTAAATTGCTATTTTTACAACCGAAGTATAAACAAAGAGAGCATTTTTATTTACCTCCATGTCGATAACCTTTTCAGAGGAGTTATCTATGAGAAATCGTGCCAGTGTCCCAGGAGTTGTTCTATAGGTCAAAATGATAGAGTTTTTAGGGTCCTGACACCACTGTATAAAGAGATCCCTTGAAAACCCACAGTCCAAATCTGGTTGGCTGGCAAGGACAACTTTGGGACTAGGAACTCGAGCCAAATCTGAAAGCCCATGACAGAGAGAGAGATGACGAAACTGGAAAGGATTGTTTCTCTTATCTTCAAAGCATCTCATCAGCTTATCACTCATCCATTCCACCTACAAGAGGAGGAGGAAAAAAAGGCAGGTAATCAGACACGTTTTAGTCTCAAATTGTAGTAATGCATAATATTGATGTTCATACACATAGTATCAACATATGTACTTTCAGAATATTAAATCAGACAGTATGGCTAAGCATTCTCTATTTCAAGAGGCTCTGCAAAGTCTTTTATGCACTGAGTTAAAAATTTCTACATCTAAACGACCAATAACCTTCCCATTTGGACTGCATGCTCCTCAGGTGTAATACTGCAATTTCCTCCACTAAAACAGCAAAATGCAGTGTCTAGTAGCGCAGTACAATTTTTCTCCCCAAAACACTTCAATGTTGCTAATGACTTAATGTAATTTCATGCATGTTCTGCTATCAAAACAAACCTGTGATTTTGAGAACTCCACAACGTTGTAGCTGACATTATTCAAAAGTGCTAAAGAGTAGACTCCTAAACCAGCATCTTTCGTCCTCCATATCTGATCAAGCAGCTGGGCAAGTTCCAAAACTCTGCCTGCAGTGTCCACGGCTATTAGGACATTCCCATCACCTCGAAGTGTTTCCAAAACATTTGCTAAAGACAAGGGGGAGAAAAACAGACATTTAATTAACAGTTTTTGCATCCTCCTTAAAATTAATATTCAATTTATTTTTCTCTTTTTATTGTTTCAATATTACAACATCTTGCTTACACTTAGTTTCCGTTGGTGCTCATACTTATACACACTTCATTTCCATGTAACATTACTGCACCTTCTCTTTTTATGCACCCTTCTTTAAAAAAAGGGGGGGGACATTCAAGTTCTTTTTATAGTCCTCTAGTTGCTCAGTAGTTTAATGAACTACTACATGCTGACATTAAAGGTCTTTCTCCAAATAACATTTTTAAAACATATGCTATATCTGCCTTTCTTTCACAAAATCCTACCATACTTCTGGTGTGGCAGTTACCCAGGTTCAAAGCACAAGCTCTTGTAAATTCCACCATGCAAACTACAGCCCTACGGAAAGACTTGTCTGAGGATCCTATGGAGAAGCTCACCAGCTAAAGGTTGGTAAGCAAGTCACAGAAATTATGAACACAATGATAGAGTGGAAATGATGTAATTGCAATGTATCGTGTTCTTCAGTTGATGGTGGCTGGTGTTGTCAGGCCTAGCAGTTGGTGATGGAAGGGGTTAATGTCAGTCCTAACCCGTGTCACTTCTAAAGGGCAGACTAATCTGTAAGAAAGAATTTACAGGCAAAAGCAATTAAAGGGGGAGGCATGCAAGAGATAGGATGCAGCTGAGTTTAACTGAATATAAAAAGCTAGCCTGGAGTACTGATGTTCAGGAGCAAAGCGTTTGTTTTACTTGGCTATGGATGCTGCTGGTTTCCCCCCAGGTTTGTGGATTTTTGGTATCCTGTCCTGTCTCCTGAACTCTTGGAACCCTGGAACCTTGAATCTCTGGACTGGCTATTGCTACAGTACAGACTCTTGATCCTTGGACTTTAATCAGTGAACTATTGGTGTTTGACTACTGGACCGAACCTTTTGACTATGGTGTTCTCTCAAACCTGCATTGGTGTTTGCTACCAGCCTTTGTTTTATATTCTGAGGCTGAGTGCTATCTTTATGTTCTAGATTTAGGCTCTGAAAACAGTCAAGACAGTAAGTGCTGCTTTAATTAAATAGTTTGACCAAGCTGTGTGTTTGTTTTGGTTCACCTCTGCCTGTGTACCGGCAGAGCCCTGGCATTGTGACAGTAATCTACACAGGCAAAAGAACTAATAAACTAGTGCAGATAATAAGCATAACTGTATAATGTATCACAAAATGAGCTTTTTATAAGTAATATTGACATTTCCATATGCAAAAAGGTCTTCTAGAATAATAACAATGTCTGCATAGTGTCAAGACCATGAAAACTAGACACAGGAAATCTGGAATGGACACTAAGGGGATTCAGCAGTGCAGAGTTATTTTGCTTTTTAATCGATTAATTTGTGTCAATTAAAATCTCTTTCTTGCTTACAATACCATCTTCAGGTACTTGGTGCCAGACCTTCCATAACCAGGATTGATAAAACAAGAGATAGTTCTGAGATATTTATTTTGCCAGAGGTCTTCTATGTCCCATCCACTATACCTAGCTCTTCAAACAGTTCAAAAAGAGAAAGCAGCGCTGTTTGGTAAAGAAGTGAGGAAGAAAGTGTATAGAGGAAGAAGTTAAACAAATGCTTGAGGGCAAACAAAGGCCAGGAAGAAAGACAAAGTCTGGAGCGGGAGTAAATGAAGAGAAATAGCAGAAGGAAAGAGAAAAGGAGGTAGAATGAAGGCCTGAGGGTTTTTTGACCCATGGGAAATTAGTACATTTGCTAGTGCCAGATAAAGCAGAGAGAGAGCTGTTTATTCTTCTTGTGTGCCTTCAAGTTGTTTCTGACTTATGATGACCCTAAGGCAAACTTATCACACAATTTCCTGGGACTGAGAGTGGGTGGCTTACCAAAAATCACCTAGCAGGTTTCCATGGCCAAATGCGGAATCTAACCCTGGCCTCCATATTTGTAACCCTACACGTGCTTTTGGGTTGCAAAATCCACAATCACCCCCTACTCGTTGAGGACTGGTGACAGTTATATGCTAAGAATATCTGGAGGGACCACCCCTACCTTAAAATATTATAATTTCATCTTGAAATATATAAACCAAGATTTCAGACTTCTTAAAGTCCTGCAGAGAGGATGTCACTTCATTACAGAGCACATATGGTGTGCTCAAATGAGAAAAGGAATTAAAAAAAAAACTTCCAAAGAAGCACTTTTAAAAGTCACCTTAATACAGAATAGCAATATATTTAGTTGCCATTTTAAAATTAATTTTACGAAATTATGCCAACGACTGCCTTTAAAAGGCACCACACAATAAGAGGAAGCTTGGGAAAAGTCTAAAAAATCCAGAGAATAACTACAAGTTTCTAATTTGTTTTTAAAATTTATAAACTGGGGCTCAGGTAAGCTCCAGTGATAAACTCAGTCTTAACCAGGTTGCAAAACTTTATCTCTCTCTTTTTAGCATGGATGTACTACACAGGAGCTGGGATTAAGAAAATGTGTCAAACAATTTCCATTTTACCTCTATCCAATTACTGGCATTTAAAGTCATAGCAAAATACATACTCAGCAGTTGTTCGTCTCTTTGCTTCCGTCTCGGTTGTACGTAGGTAGCATTAAAGGAGTCAGTGATAAGCAAGGAAGGCCTACTTAACATTTCCAGGGAACATCCATTCAAATGGCTGCCAAAAAAATCATATCAGATAATTTCAGTCAGCTAGCTAAACACAGTCAATGTCAAAACTGAAACAGCAGAAATATCCTACAAGCTGTTTTCCTACTTTCCAGTTTCTCCACTTCCATAACAAATACATTTCCATTACAACCGGTCCTCTGCTTGTATGGGTTTGATTATTCAGATTTGCATAATATTCCCCCTCTAGGAATCTCTAGGTCCTCCAGTGTGACTCTATGTCACCTTCCTCTTGGATGACCGAAAGATTTCGAGAGAGACCACATCTCTAGAAATGTCTAGGTCCTTCAACACAATTCTATGGTCTACTTCCAGCAAATGAGGACTTGTCTTTAAATAAACAGTGACTGGGAAAGACCAACTATAGACTGGGTTGCCACTAGATGCTGCATTTCAAAATGCTTTTAAATTTCACGTTTTGTATTTCAAAGAGAAGTTTATTCCTTCAGCGACTTTGGTTTTCAAATTTTAATTGGTGGTTATACAAATCTTTGAAATTTGCTATGTATTGGGTATTAATCTACCATAGTGCTGTAAATAACTGCTTATAATATGCAACAAATAAAAACAAGCTTTATATGACCACATTAGTAGCTCTTGTAAAATTAAAATGAATCAGTCTGTTTCAGGCCAATAGGCACATGCAAGGCTAGTAACTCCTGCGGCTATATAAAATATAAGACCAGATATATTTTATAAATCAAAATCCCAACAAAATTATATCAACTGGAAATTATTAACCATTAGGTACATACATTTCCCTTTTATGGTTGAAATCGACGGCATAAACTATTTCTTCTTCTCCATCTTTGACTATCTTCCAGATTGTACCTCCTATCATATGGCCTGCTGGTAATGGTGTGATAGACAAACCATGTCCTTTCCCTAAAGGAAAAAAGCAACAATAGTTCTGTAGAGATAGGCACACAAAGTGTCCTGTACTCAGTTTTAACTCAGTTTTGCCAGTTGAAACAGGGCATCAGGACTGAGTTTTGCAAATAGCTTTCACTGCAGCATTTTATATATATATCCCTACCAAAATGTACAGAAGTGGTCTAGCTCTACACACAGTCAATGGTTTCTGAGCTCCTTGTCTCCCTGAACTCTTTCCATTTCTACTTATAAAAAATTCATAACTTGAAGAATTGGTGAAAAATTTGCTTTAATTCTTCTGTTCCCTCCCCTCTTTCCTGACACAAAGGGCAGATTTGTACAGGATGACATACTAGATTCCAATTGAAATCTGGGTTGTTTTGGTCAGGCCAGTATACAGATGCCTGTTGTTCCATGATGAGCATAAACAGCTGAATAAAACAGAAACTTTCTATTGATAGTCTGTTTATTCGAATGTAGTAAGCCGGCAATCTGGTTTGTCTCACCATAACAAACCAGTAAAATAATTCATGTTTTATTATAGTTTTAATTTTGATGATTGTTGCAAAAGAGAAAGACTGCCAGAATCAGACATAACAGATGGATGGTTACAACTCCAATCACTCAGCACAACAAGACTCAGGGCATATGGATCCTTTGAAATAAATAAATGTAAATAAATATATGAAGCATAATTCCTCTGGTACCTAATTTTTTTTTGTCAAAGCGGCAAAACATTACTGTATGGAGCGCTGTTACCTTCCTGCAGAAGCGGTACCTATTGACCTACTCACATTTACAAGTTTTCGACTGCTAGGTTGGCGGAAGCTGGGGCCAACAGCGGGAGCTCAAACCACCAACCTTTTGGTCAGCAAATTCAGCAGCTCAGCGGTTTAACCCGCTGCGCCACCTGGGGGTCCTTATGCCTACATTACCTTTTTTAAATTGTTCTTCACATGCCTTACAAACCAAGAAAAAAATGAAAATAAAAAGTAACAAATGACCAACTTCTGCCTTTAACACATCATAGTAAATGAAACTCACAACACAGTGTCATTCCTATCTCGCATACACTTTTACAGAGAGAGAACATTTGATTTATCAAAATGAGCTTAATAAGGGGTTTGGCCTTCAGAGTGTTGAATGGAGTACCAAAAACGTTACTAATTCAATCAGACTCCTTTCCTCACTGATGAGGGGATGATAGACAACTTAACTAATCCCAGAACGGAACTGAGGGAAAATGATCTTTCTTCCCATTAGTAATGTTAATAGCTACTGAGACTGTGGCACAGCTGGCTGGGAGTCAGCTGCATTAAGATCACTACTGACCAAAAAGTCATGAGTTTGAAGCCAGCCTGAGTCGGAGTAAGCTTCCGACCAAAATTGTGTAGCTTGTTGTCGACCTTTGCAGCACGAAAGGCAGTTACATCTGTCAAGTAGGAAATTTAGGTACCACTTATGTGGGGAGGCTAATTTAACTGATTTACGAGGCCATAACAATCTCCAGGAAGTATGCAAAGAATGAGGAAGTACTTCATCAATGTCACAATCGGACAGTGAAGCGAGAGCTCCCCTGGTGGCCCGAAGCTGGAATGTTAATTAGCCTCTGAGTGTCTGTTTATATATGTTGTGTGTCTATGGCATTGAATGTTTGTCATGTATACGTACATTGTAATCCACCCTGAGTCCCCTGTGGGGTGAGAAGGGCAGAATATACTGTAAATAAATAAATACTGAGGAAGATAAGCATAGAGAAGAAACAGAATATAAAGAAAAGAAGTTAAGTATTAAGAACAGATAACGTTAAACTATTTTGGAAGCATTCAAAAATGTGTTTCTAGCATATGCGAAAAAATGACAGCAAATTCCAAACAAAGATACAAATCATCACTTTAAAAAAAACGTTCTTTTTCACCTTTCAAATTAACAATCTGAGAAAATTTCAATTGTTGTATTTTATCGAAAGCTGCATCCACATCATCCAGGGTAAATAACGTGAAGTCTTCTGTATTGTGCCGTGACTAATCAACAAAAAGAACACAGAAATATTTTTAGATTCCATTCACACTCAACTAACAGTTCTTTAAAAAGTAAACCTTTCATAAGCTGTACCTGATAGAGATCATACATGAACATCTGGCCCATTTTGTACACTGGAATGGTTGCATAAATAGCACAATTCAAACCCAATTTTCCTACTGCGTATGGAAGTGCACCCAAATGTAAAGGATCTGGATGTGACAGAAGTACTGCATCAACCTGATGAACATGTCTATAAAAGAAAATGAAACATTGGAGTGGAATTACAAACCATTCTATCATTTCAAAAATCAAAGTATTTCATTTATTATACATAGCACATCAATAAATAAACACACATAGATAATTTTCATCCATAGGATTATGGTTTCCTGTATTTCCTTACCCTTGATTGTACGAGTCCCATTTACAGAAAACTACCATATGCAAAACAGAGGACGTATCTTTACAAAAACTTTGAATATATTTTGTTGAAGGAAAATGAGAGAGAAAAAGCACAAAACAAGCAAACAAGAACACCAAAAAGAAAAGGATACAATACTGTTTGTAAATGCTTTATCAGAAGAAAGTAGTTAATTATAGTATTAGAACACTCGATCATTCCTGAGTTTATCAGTTACAGTGGAGTGATAAACTATGTTTATGTTAGAATACACAGTGTAAGACCACCATTACTTGTCTTTCTTACCAGTTTTCTGGTAGTTAAGTTAAGCTAAGGCCACACTGCCTTAGCTTGCTCTACCACTCATATAAGAAAGCCATTACTCCCTTTGGGTTGTTTGGTTGTAGCACAAGTCTGCTTTTTGTTTTTTGTTTTTTTACTGAACAGATTTGATTATCTAAAATGCATACACATATTTGCAAACATCTTTTTAGTTAGACAATGTCAAATCTACAATAATTAGAAAGTAATTCAGAGTTACTCCTAGAGAAACAGAACTTAAGTTAAAATCAGATTCTACTTACTTTCTCAAAGAATCGATGATGTCCATAGAAAAATTTTCATCCCATCCGCAATCCAATAGAAAGCGAAACTCATCTACTTGAAGTAAATAACAGAGAGCTGATTCTTCCTGCACCCCTGAAAGGGTGGTTAGCTTGATAATTGATGTCATTCTGCCTTCCAAAATGTGCTTACCAAGTCACAACTGTAAGATAATAACGGGTGTTTTAAAATCAACAGAAGATATTTACTTTCTTGCCATAGTCCTCTCAAAAGGATTTAACAACCCACTCTATCAGCCTTTAGAAAACAACAACTACTGCGCACCTTTTATTTTCCAATTCAGCCTGACCTAAATTGGAGCATGTGGTTTGAGAGCTAGATTAGAGGCCGAGTATCCCTTAGGCAAAACACTTGGAACCAGAAGCATTTTCTTTTTCAGATAATATGCATAACATATATGGTAAAAGAATTTTGGAATATGTGTTTGCACATCATAGATTCATAGAATTGGAAGAGACTGAATGGGCCATCCAGTCCAACCCCATGACATGCAGGAAAAGAACAATCAAAGCACCCCTGAAAGATGGCCATCCAATCTCTGTTTAAAAACCTCCAAAGAAGGTGCCTCCACCTCACTCCGAGGCAAAGAGTTCCACTGTTCAACAGCTCTTATGATCAGGATGTTTGTCCTAATGTTCAAGTGGAAGCTCCTTTCCTGCAATTTGAACCTATTGCCAGGGCAAAAAAAACAAGCCAGCTCCCTCTTCCTCATCTCTCTCCCCATACATAGGGAGGGAAGGGGAGAGAGGGATAACTTGGAGATGGAACCCAAATCTAAACACAAAATTTATTTATATTTCATTCTAACTTATACATACAACCATAAGGCAATTTTACATCTATATAAATAAAAATGTAATGTGCATTTGTGGGATTAACATAACTCAGAAACCACTGGACGAACTGATACCAAATTTGGACACAAAATACCTATCAGACCAAAGAGTGACCATCACTCATAAAAACACTGAAAAACACTGTGGGACTTAAAAAGCCAAAAAAGCAAAAAGACACTACAGTGCATGTGCAAAAATGATTTCCCTTGGCAAACAAGGCACACAATAGCATATCCACACTCTCTTCCAGACTACAGTTCCCAGCATCCCCTAGACCAGGCCTTTTAGGAGAGGCGGATGATCCAAATGCACTGCTTCCAAGCTGTAAGCCTTCTTCTCCTTGGATTTCTTTGAGAGCATCCCAATCCCTGCATATTTCCAATTTCCTATTCTTGGACTGCAACTCCCAGCAATCCTCGATAGATAGATTAGATGGAGATAGGTAAGTAAGTAGATTGATCAGGAGGACTGCTGGGAGTTGAAGTCCAAGAATAGGTAGAGAAGGAAGAAAGGGGAGAAAGAGGAAGGGAAAGAAAGGGGGGGAGAAGTGAAGGAAGAAGAGAAGGAAAGAAAAAGGAAGGAAAGAGGGAGGGAGGAAGGAGAAAAAGAAAGGGGAGAAAGGGGAAGGGAAAGAAAGGGGGGAGAAGAGAAGGAGAAAAAGAAAAAAAGGAAAGGAAGGAAAGAGGGAAGGAAGTAGAAAAAGAAAGAAGAGAAAGAGGGAGGGAAGGTTGGCCATAGCAACGCGTGGCGGGTACAGCTAGTATTACAGTATTTTAATAATGTTGTCCATGTGACAAAGGTGCCATACACTGAACTACCCACCAAAATGAACAATTTGGGAGTATTATGGATAAGAGACACTGAACCCATGTATCGATTTAAAGCAGGGGTCCTCAAACTAAAGCCCAGGGGCCGGATACGGCCCTCCAAGGACATTTACCTGGCCCTCGCTCAGGGTCAACCTGAAATGACTTGAAAGCACACAACAACAACAACAATTCTATCTTGTCATCCAAAAGCAGATTCATACTTCCCATTGAAATACTAATAAGTATACGAACCCACACGATCTCTTCGTTCATCTGGAGAGGCCCTGCTCACGATCCCACCTGTATCGCAAGCGCAATTGGTGGGAACGAGGGACAGGGCCTTCTCGGTGGTGACCCCACAATTCTGGAACTCCCTCCCCAAGGACATCAGGCATGCCCCATCATTGGTAGTCTTCAGAAGGAGCTTGAAAACATGGATGTTCCAGTGTGCCTTCCCAGATTAAGGAATCCCAAGCAATATGTCCCAAATGCACTTTACGAGAGAGTTAGAATTGTCTGCACACCCACTTACCCCCCAAAATATCCATCCTTTTTCACCTGGTCATGCCCAGCATTTAAAAAAAAAAATTAATCGTTACATTTGGCCCTGCCAGGTTTTTAAATTGCGTCGTGATATTTTGTTATTGTTCTTGCTTTGCTATGAGTTATTTATTGTTGTATTGTATTGTTGTGGTTGTTTTTTGTTCTGATGTATTTTGGGCTCGGCCTCTTGTAAGCCGCACCGAGTCCTGCGGGAGATGGTAGCAGGGTATAAATAAAGGTTTATTATTATTTGTTAAAAACAATACAATAATTAAAATAAAGAACAATTTTAAGTGGGGGTTTGTTTTTTTTGCACTACAAATAAGATATGTGCAGTGTGCATGGGAATTAATTCATGTTTTTTTCCAATTATAATCCGACCCTCCAAAAAGGTTGAGGGACTGTGACCTGGGCCACTGTTTAAAAAGTTTGAGGACCCCTGATTTAAAGCCTTCTTGGCAGCTTAGGCCCCTTCCAAACAGCTGAATAAAATCCCACATAGAATCATACAATCAGAGTTGGGAGAGACCTCATGGGCTATCCAGTCCAACCCCCTGCCAAGAAGCAGGAATATTGCATTCAAATCACCCTGACAGATGGCCATCCAGCCTCTGTTTAAAAGCTTCCAAAGAAGGAGCCTCCACCACACTCCGGGGCAGTGAGTTCCACTGCTGAACGGCTCTCAGTCAGGAAGTTCTTCCTCGTGTTCAGATGGAATCTCCTCTCTTGTAGTTTGAAGCCATTGTTCTGCGTCCTAGTCTCCAAGGAAGCAGAAAACAAGCTTGCTCCCTCCTCCCTGTGGCTTCCTCTCACATATTTATACATGGCTATAATCTCCTCTCAGCCTTCTCTTCTTCAGGCTATACATGCCTAGCTCCTTAAGCCGCTCCTCATAGGGCTTGTTCTCCAGACCCTTGATCATTTTAGTCGCCCTCCTCTGCTTTGAACTGGAATATATAGCAGTGTGGACTCAAATTACCCAATTCAAAGCAGATATGGCGGGATTTTATGGTTGTGTGAAAGGGCTGTATGTTGCACCTACACTGCAGAATGGATGTTAGGCTATTAGGAATTGTGGGACTTGAAGTCCAAAACACCTGGAGGGCTCAAGTTTGCCCATGCCTCGTGTAGATGCACCAAATCCTCTTCCCTAATAATAACGATTACAGACCTAGGGGGGCGGCCAATCTGTCTCCCCCTTCCCAAGCTAAAAATATGGCGGGAAGTGATCAGTTCTTGTTTCCTCAGCAGTGTATGTATGTGAGGCAGTAGAAATAACTGATGAAGGTTCCAATCTGGGTCCATTTGGCATTCATGTTAACCCTTACCTGTGCATAAAAGCCCTTTGTTAATGCCAGGGCCCTAAACCTACTCAAAACCCGGGAGAGAAACAGGCCTGTTCCCAACCACACAGCTCCCACCTCTCAATCGCCACCATTTTGGCCCGAGAGGAAACCGGAAGGAGGGAGGGAGGAAGGAAAGGACCTCGGACTGTACCATTAGCCCAGCTCAGCGGGGGGAGGACGAAATCTGCAAGGAAGACTCCTCCGCCTCCGTTCATTCAAAGTAAGCTGCTAAATTGTCTCGCGTCTCCTTTAAAAATGTGATCGCATAGAATAAGGGACTCTGAGCGCGGAAGAAAACAGGAAACGCCTCTTTTGCTTTCCCTCGGCGAATGGACTCTTCCGCCTCCCCGCCGGCCGGAATAGTTTGACCTCTTTAGAGAGAACAAGAAGGCCTGAAGGAGAGGTAAGGCGCTGGAGGGGAAAGTGTGTATTGGAATGGCTGGGGAAAGGCGCCCAGAAGGCAGTGGGTGGGTGAATGGCAACATCATAGGTGAGCTTGTCAGAGTTTAAGGTCGACTGGGGAGGCCTTTCTCAGTGGGTGCAGCCACACCGCAGAATTAACGCAGTTTGAGACCACTTTAACTACCAGAGCGCAAGGCCTAGGCAAACTTGGGCCCTCCAGGGGTTTTGGACTTCAACTCCCACAATTCCTAACAGCCGGTAGGCTGTTAGGAATTGTGGGAGTTGAAGTCCAAAACCCCTGGAGGGCCCAAGTTTGCCTTTCCCTGCTGTAGAGCAAGTGGTTCTCAACCTTCCTAATGCAGTTCCTCATGTTGTGGTGACCCCCAACCATAAAATTATTTTCGTTGCTACTTTCATACCTGTAATGTTGCTACTGTTATGAATCGTCATGTAAATCTCTGATATGCAGGACGTATTTTCATTCACTGGACCAAATTGGCAAAAATACCCAATAAACCCAAATTTGAATACTGGTGGTATTATTTATTTATTTATTTATTTGTCGTGTCAGGGCAACCAGTCAATGATATTACATTTCTAACAGAACAAACAAACAGACAAAATACATCATTTGTGAGTTTGGTAGTTGATTAAATGTCCTTTGACCAGTATCTGTCCACTTGGAGTGCTTCTGGTGTTGCTGCAAGAAGGCCCTCCATTGTGCATGTGGCAGGGCTCAGGTTGCATTGCAGCAGGTAGTCAGTGGTTTGCTCTTCTCCGCACTCGCATATCGAGGATTCCACTTTGTAGCCCCATTTCTGAAGGTTGGCTGTGCATCTTGTGGTGCCAGAGCGCAGTCTGTTCAGCGCTTTCCGAGTCACCCAGTCCTCTTTGTGCCCAGGGCAGGGCTCAGGGTGCATTGCAGCAGGTGGTCAGTGATTTGTTCTTCTCCGCACTAGCATGCCGAGGATTCCACCCTTTAGCCCCATTTCTTAAGATTGGCTCTGCATCTCGTGGTGCCAGAGCGCAGTCTGTTCAGCGCCTTCCAAGTCGCCCAGTCTTCTGTGTGCCCAGGGGGGAGTCTCTCATTTGGTATCAGCCATTGGTTGAGGTTCTGAGTTTGAGCCTGCCACTTTTGGACTCTCGCTTGCTGAGGTGTTCCTGCGAGTATCTCTGCAGCGAGTGTCTCTGTAGATCTTAGAAAACTATTTCTAGATTTAAGTCGTTGAGTGGTGGGGTTGAGGAGTGGGATTGATTTTGTCATTTGGGAGTTGTAGTTCACTTACATCCAGAGAGCACTGTGGAGTCAAACAATGATGGATCTGGACCAAACTTGGCACGAATTTTCTATCTATATAAATAAAAATGTAATGTTTGTGGGATTAACATAATTCAAAAACATAACTAAAAAATCAGGCCGATGAGTGACCATCACTCATAAAAACATTGGAAGGGATTTAAAAAGCCAAAAAACAAAAATACATTACAATATATGCGCAAAATCACATATATACGCAAACACACATATACACAAATATATGTATACTTCCAAACACGTTGGAAGGGACTTGAAAAGCCAAAAAACAAAATTACATTACAACATTTGCGCAAAACCATATATACACACAAAACACATATACACAGTCTGGGCCACAGCAACACGTGGCAGGGGACAGCTAGTCCCATATAAATAAAAAATATAATGTTTGTTTGTGGGATTAGTATAACTCAAAAACCACTGGGCGAATTGACACCAAATTTGGACACAATACATCTATCAGGCCAACGAGTGACCATCACTCATAAAAACACCGAAAAACACAGCAGAAGAGACTTAAAAAGCCAAAAAACAAAATTTACATTACAATGCATGGGCAAAACCACATATATACACAAATATATACACACATATATATATACACACAAAACAAACACACACAGAGACTGGGCCACAGCAACGCGTGGCGGAGGACAGCTAAATAAAAATGTAATGTTCGTTTGTGGGATTAACATAACTCAAAAATCACTGGACGAATTGACACCAAATTTGGACAGAATACATGTATCAGGCCAACAAGTGACCATCACTCATAAAAACACTGTAAAACACACCAGAAAAGACTTAAAAAGCAAAAAAAAAACACATTACGATGCATTCACAAAACTACACACACACATATATACACAAAAATATGCACACACATACACAAAACACATACACAGACTGGGCCACAGCAATGCATGGCAGGGGATGTCTAGTACACAATATGCTGAAATGTGAACACTGGTGGAGTTTGGAGAAAATAAAACTTGACATTTGGGAGTTGTCGTTGCTGGGATTTATAGTTCATCTACAATCAGAGCATTCTGAATCCCACCAATGATAGAATTGGGCCAAACTTCCCACACAAAACCCCCATGACCAACAGAAAATACTGGAAGGGTTTGGTGGGCATTGACCTTGAGTTTGGGAGTTGTAGTTTACGTACACTCAGAGAGCAGGAGGAGGGCTTTTGGTGGGAGGATTTGCCATCTGTTTCCAAAAACGAAGAGAAAAACAGGCGGAGAGATCTTCAGCCTTCTCTGTCAATGGGGCTCCTAAAACCATCAGAAATATGTGTTTTCTGATGGTTTTTGGTGACCCCTCAGAAAACCCTTCACGATCCCCTCAGGGGTCCCGACCCCCATGTTGAGAAACACTGCTATAGAATGATAGGAGTTGCAGTTGGATGAGGCACCAGTACTATTGGGCAGAGAAGGTTAAGGTCCTTGTAAAACTACAAGTCTCAGTATTCCATAGCACTGAGTCATGGCAGTTAAAAATCCCCTGGACCTTAATAATTACAGCCCAGTGTCTAAACTCCCCTTTTTGGGCAAAATGATTGAAAAAGTAGTTGCTCTCCAACTCCAGGCAGTCTTGGTTGACACATACTTCCTTGATCCATTTCAAACCTGCTTCAGGATTCGGATTTGAGACTGCTATGGTCATCTTAATGGATGATATCCGTCTATGAGGACAGGCCAAATATTTGGGAATTCTTAATTTAGGGGGAAATACACATTCTCCCCATTCTAATAACCATAAAGCCTGGGATTATTTGTAGAAATTGATTAATTACATTGTTATAAGTGGAGGTGTTTTGTTGTGTTTTTTTTACTAATTTTCCTAAAAATTTTTTTTTTACTACTAAGTGATTTATATATTTTGAGCATATATACATGTTTTGCTGGATACAACTCTTTTTTTCCTTTTCCTTTTAGTAACTATGGTGAATATCCTCCAGCTTGTGCGAGATCACTGGGCCCTGACATTGGTTCCGATTGGATTTGTGGTGGGATGTTACTTTGACAGGAGAAATGATGAGAAACTGAGCTTCTTCAGAAACAAAAGCAAATTATATCACAGGTTAGTTATTTTGGGGGAGGGGGTAACATAATGGTAACATTTTAAATTATTATTTAGATAATTTTTTACCCTGCTCATCAGCCACAAAGGCACTCAGGTTGGTTTGCAAAATTTTAATTTGTCCTCAAGCTTACAATGTACATAAGATCAATAATTCTTACATAAATATTACATAAGATATATTATTATGTTTTAGTTCTTTATGTCTTAGTTGATTGTTCATGTTTATTTTTATTTTGATGCTCAATTCCTTCATTGTAAGCTTACTGTTGTTACTATCCATTATCCTGTATTATTTTGATGTGTTTGTACCCATTTTGAGACATTCAATATTTGCCTTTTTTGTTTATAAACCACCGTGAGTTCCTCCAGGGAGAGAGGGTGGGCTAGAAATAAATAAATAAATAGAATCACAAGAAGATTAATACACAGCAAACATGATCGTTATGCTAGCTGTTGTATTGGATCAAACGTTAGACACTTCCCAAGTGTCTAGGACTGTGGACTGTATCAGCAAATAATGCTTGCAGATCCGAGTAGGGTGGCCTTTTGCAGCTGACAGATCATAGAATCGTAGGGTTGGAAGAGACCTCATGGGCCATCCAGTCCAACCCCCTGCCAAGAAGCAGGAATATTGCATTCAAAGCACCCCTGACAGATGGCCATCTAGCCTCTGTTTAAAAACCTCCAAAGAAGGAGATGGTAATTTTGTCAGCGCCGATTGTGTTTAAGTGCAGACCAAGGTCTTTAGGCACTGCACCCAGTGTGCCAATCACCACTGGAACCACCTTTACTGGCTTGTGCTAAAGTCTTTACAGTTCGATCTTTAAATCCTCGTATTGTGTCAGCTTTTCCAGTTGTTTCTCTTCAGTTTTGCTGTCTCCTAGGATTGCAACATTGATGATCCATACTTATTTTAACGCGATCGTGAGGTCACAACACAGCAACATCATGTCTAATAATAATAATAATAATAATAATAATAATAATAATAATAATGACATAATATAAGTCTGCAGACAGACTGCAAGCAGAGGCATAACACAGTTTTTCAGGTGACGCTGACAAAATTACCAGCTGCAGAAGGACACCTTACTGGGATCTGCACACATTATTTGCCGATACATCACACAGTCCTATCCATTTTCCTGCATTTCCCTGTTGCTTTTGGGTGGGTAAATTCGAGAGATTTGTGGCCTGCATTTCATTACCCAATTCACTGTGTTTAGCACCAATTTCTAGAAGCCAGGTCAGGTCAGGTCCAATTTTAAGTGGGTTTTTTTAAGGGAAAGGAGGTGCTTATTTAAACCAACTTGGGAAAGGATTGCTTTATAAGAGTCAAACACATCTGGACCTGCAGTTCTGTCATTTTCATTAAACTAAAAATCTGGGTAATGGAGAGCATTGGCGTTGTGAATACAAGGTTGGAAGGCATGCTACCTGAAGCCAGTGGGCCATGTTTCTACCCCTGTTTTTACTGTTAGCTTGGACGTGGTAGAGATGATGTCTTCTATTGATCTAGTAACCAAAATTATTTTGAAAATGTAACTGAAGAGCGCTGAACATCTTTATTTTATTTATTCAAAAAAATATTGGGAACAGGCCATATATCCAATTAGGGCTTTTGAGTACAAAAAATTACAAACATATTATTTTAAAAATAAATTGTCATCTTTATTACTATTTGAAATATTGTTCAAAAAAGCATAAAAGTAAAGACTTGTAGTGAAGTTTTTTTCCCATCTGTTACAAAAATTGCTAGTTGCATAGCAGAATATACCGTACTTTTAAATGTGAACAATTTTTTCTGGAAAGACCACATTCCTAATTTGATAATTCTTTCTTTCATTTTCACAGGGAATTGAAACCTGGAGAAGAAGTCACATGGAAATAATGTTTCAAATGAAATGATTGTGTCATTGAGTGAAACAAAAATTGTTAGTCCCAGGCCATCTATTAAATTCATGACTTTAGCAGGAGCTTAAGAAGTTACTTTTAAGAAGAAACGCATAACATTTTTTCCAGTTATGAATGAATGTAATTGCATTCATTTTTCTTTAGAGTAAAATTCTAAAGTTTGTATTTCTGGAATTTCTTCTCTGGGGACATACACATGAGATCTTTTTTCCACCTTTAAATAAAAAGAAGATGACAACCAGCCTAAAAAGTATTTGGATGTTTTGTTTTGAAATTCTCTCTCCCAAAACTTTATACTTTGCTGCATATTAACAAACAAATGCATCAGAATATATCTATTTAGTGCTGGCAGTGGAAATATAAATAGCTCTAGTTATACATTTGTTTTACAAGGCATTCTACATAGGAATATAAATCAGTGAGAGGGGAAAATATACCCCTCTAAGACTTTGTCAGCTTTTTAAAATTTCTTAGTGCTTTTAAAACTTATTTGTTTGCTAGAAGAAAACACTGCAGATATCAGGAATACCAGAAATAGGGCACTGAATGTTTGCATTTTATGTTTGGAATCCACCCTGAGTCCCTTCAGGGAGATAAGAGTGGAACATAAATAAAGTATTGTTGTTGTTGTTGTAATTATTATTGTTATTATTATTATTATTATTATTATTATTATTATTATTATTATTATTATTACCCAGATGAGTATCTCTGAAGCATAATGGAGCTTTGAAGACCTAGTTAACCATTACTAAAATTTCATTTCAAAAAGGAAAAAAACACATAATGAAGGAGGTATTCTAACCTGTCCCTTATTCCTTCGGCATTTAGGAAAGGAGGATGATGTGTTTTGTAATCTTTGTCCTTACCATTGTATTTTCTTCTGTATATGATTGTAAAAGCTGAATAGTGAGGAAAGCCTATATCTACTCATTTGAAATGTCATGCCAAAGAAGAGTTCTGTGAGTATCCTAGACTGCCAAAAAGACAAATAAATGGGTCTTGGAGCAAAGCAAACTTGATCGCTCCCTAGAAAGCAAATGACTAGACTTAAACTTGTACTTTGGACGTATCATGAGAAGACATGACTCATTAGAAAAGACAATTGTGCCTAGTAAAGTAGAAGGCAGTAGGAAAAGAAATCATGCATCAATTCGACAATGTAAATAAGGAATGGCCAAACTTGGGCACTCCCGTTGTTTTGGATTTCAACTCCCACAATTCCTAATAGACAATAGGCTGTTGGGAATTGTGTGGGTTGAAGTCCGGGGGCCCCATCATACTAGAGAAAAAAATCCACTTAAAATCCGGTTGCTGCCTCCTGCAGAATTAATGATTTTTACTGTATTCCTTATTGTTATATGCTGACAGCATCACATGATGCTTATGTGAGGCCGCCCTGAATCCCACTTCAGGGGGAGAAGGGCAGGATAGAAATCTATATAAATAAAAATGTAATGTTCGTTTGTGGGATTAACAGAACTCAAAAACCAGTGGGCCAATTGACACCAAATTTGGACAGCATACACCTAACAACCCAATGTATGTCCTTCACTCAAAATTTTTTGATTTTGTCATTTGGGAGTTGTAGTTGCTGGGATTTATAGTTAACCTACAATCAAAGAGCATTCTGAACTCCACCAACGATGGAATTGAACCGAACATGGCATACAGGACTCCCATGACCAACAGAAAACACTAGAAGGGTTTGGTGGGCATTGACCCTGAGTTTGGGAGTTGTAGTTCAACTACATCCAGAGAGCACGGTGGACTCAAACAATGATGGATCTGGACCAAACTTGGTACAAATATTTCATATGGCCAAATATGAACACAGATGGAGTTTGGGGGAAATAGACCTTGACATTTGGGATTTGTAGTTACTGGGATTTATAGTTCACCTACAATCAAAGAGCATTCTGAATCCCACAAACGACAGAATTGGGGCAAATTTCCCACACAGAACCCCCATGACCAAAAGAAAATACTTAAGGCCATCCAGTCCAACTCCCTTCAGCAGGGCAAGAAAATGTAAACAGAGCCTTCCTGACAAAGAGCCATCCAGCCATAGATATAGATAGATAGATAGACAGATAGATATGATTCACGCACACCCACACAGATATAGTATCATACATTTGAAAGGTATCCCTAAAGAAGGACTATGATATGTTGCATATTCCAGAGTAGGCAAACCAGACAGTCTCCACATCAACAATGACAAAGAAACAACACGAAATACTGTTTACCCACAAGCATAAAGAAATTACATATATTAGAAACCAACACTTTCTCATTACTTTATTTTCCAGATCACCAGACTGGGCCACAGCAACGCGGGGCAGGGGACAGCTAGTGCATTTATTTATTTATCGTGTCATCAGCAACCAGACATTTGTATTACATTTTTAACAAAACAAGCAGACAAAACAGAGAATTTGCAAGCTTTGTAGTTGATTAAATGTCCTTTGACCAGTAGCTGGCCACTTGGAGTGCCTCTGGTGTTGCCGCAAGGAGGTCCTCCATTGTGCTTGTAGCAGGGCTCAGGTTGCATTGCAGCAGGTGGTCAATGGTTTGCTCTTCTCTGCACTCGCATGTCGTGGATTCCACTTTGTAGCCCCATTTCTTGAGGTGGGCTCTGCATCTTGTGGTGCCAGAGCATAGTCTGTTCAGCGCCTTCCAAGTCACCCAGTCCTCTGTGTGCCCAGCCGGGAGTCTCTCATTTGGTATCAGCCATTGATTGAGGTTCTGGGTTTGAGCCTGCCACTTTTGAACTCTCGCAACCTACAAGAAGCACTGCCTGAACATCAAAAACAAAAAGTGGGTGCTAGAAACAATATCATACGAAAGCTGACTGGCACAACCTGGGGATCACAACCAGACACAGTGAAGACATCTGCCCTTGTGCTACGCTACTCTGCTGCTGAGTACGCATGCCCAGTGTGGAACACATCTCACCACACTAAAACAGTGGATGTGGCTCTTAATGAGACATGCCGCATTATCACGGGGTGTCTGCGCCCTACACCACTGGAGAAATTACACTGCTTAGCCGGTATTGCACCACCTGACATCCGCCGGGAAGTAGCAGCCAATAGTGAAAGGACCAAGGCAGAGACATCTCCAGCTCATCCCCTGTTTGGGTATCAGCCAGCACGTCAACGACTTAAATCAAGACATAGTTTTCTTAGATCTACAGAGACACTCGCTGGAACACCCCAGCAAGCGAGAGTCCAAAAGTGGCAGGCCCAAACCCAGCACCTCAATTCATGGCTGATACCAGATGAGAGACTCCCCCCTGGGCACTCAGAAGACTGGGCGACTTGGAAGGCGCTGAACAGACTGCGCTCTGGCACCACGAGATGCAGAGCCAATCTTAAGAAATGGGGCTACAGGGTGGAATCCTCGGCATGCGAGTGCGGAGAAGAGCAAACCACTGACCACCTGCTGCAATGCACCCTGAGCCCTGCCACATGCACAATGGAGGACTTTCTTGCGGCAACCCCAGAGGCACTCCAAGTGGCCAGATACTGGTCAAAGGACATTTAACCAAATACCAAATTTGCAAAATCTGTGTGTTTTTTTTTCCTTTCCCTTTTTAATCTGTGTGTTTGTTTTGCTCTGTTAGAATTGTAACGCAATGGTTGCTGATGACACGATAAATAAATAGCGTGGTGAGATGTGTTCCACACCGGGCATGTATACTCAACAGCAGAGTAGCATAGCGCAAGGGCAGATGTCTTCACTGTGTCTGGTTGTGATCCCCAGGTTGTGCCAGTCAGGTAGTGCATGAAATAAATATATCAAACAAATGTTGTCAATCAGAACCGGAAGTGTGCGTAAAACAGGGCACACTCTCCTTAGCATCCCCTCTTTGACGTATGGGTTGAGCTCATAGATAGGTTGCGGGGTGAGGTAAAGCCCCGCCTCGAATGACGAAGCGGCTGTGATTGGTCGAAGGGGCGGAGCCTGTTGCGATTGGCTGACTCTCCGTCACGTGGCGCGGAGGCTGGTGTCGGTGGGGAGACAAATAAACATGGAGGCCATCTTTCACGAGAGGGTGAGTGGGCGCCTTGGAGGGTCCACGCGGGATCCGGCAGGGAGGCGGGAGAAGCCAATTCCTTGTCTTTTCGGAAGAAGGAAGGAAGGAAGGAGGGCTTGTCGCTCCCACTGGAAGTTGAGGCACAGCGCTGGAGGCCCTCAGGGGAAGCCTCCTACTCGGGGACTGAAGTTAATGTTGTGAGGAAGGAGGGAAAGCTGTATCTACATCAGGCATGGGCCAAGTTGGGCCCCCCAGGTGTTTTGGACTACAACTCCCACAATTCCTAACAGCCGATACAGTCGATACAGCTGGGGGGCCCAACTTGGCCCATGCCTGATCTACATTGTAGAAATGGGTGGAGTTCTTGCTGGTGGCAGTGAGTCCCAAATAGGGAAGTGTGAGTCTCAACATGGAGGAGGAGAAGGGTGTGTGGGCTCAGCCCTGTTTTGTCAGACACTTAATCACAACCCTGGCATGGGAGCCTCTGCTACTGGTCCACCTGCTTGCTCCACTTCACTGACATCTGTCATGATATCACTCTTACAATCATAGAATCGCAGCGTTAGAAGGGAAAAGTAATTAGACAGGTAATTGTGGGGTGGATGGTTACTTGAATACCTGCTGGTTAGAAAGAACATGTTCTGAATCATGAGGAATAATAATAATAATAACAAACTTTATTTATACCCCGCCACCATCTCTCCAAGGGGACCCTGAGTGGCTTACATGAGGCCAAGCCCAATCTATATAAATAAAAATCTAATGTTTGTTTGTGGGATTATCAGAACTCAAAAACCACTGGACGAATTGACACCCAGTTTGGACACAAGACACCCAACAACCCAATGTATGTCCTTCACTCAAAATTTTTTGACTTTGTCATTTGGGAGTTGTAGTTGCTGGGATTTATAGTTCACCTATAATCAAAGACCATTCTGAACTCCAACAGTGATTGAATTGGACCAAATATGGCACACAGGACTCCCATGACCAACAGAAAATACTGGAAGGGTTTGGTGGGCATTGATCTTGAGTTTGGGACTTGTAGTTCACCTACATCCAGAGAGCACTGTGAACTCAAACAATGATGGATCTGGACCAAATTTGGCACGAATATTCCATATTCCCAAATATGAACACAGATGGAGTTTGAGGGAAATAGACCCTGACATTTGGGAGTTATAGTTACTGGGATTTATAGTTCACCTACAATCAAAGATCATTCTGAACCCCACCAATGACAGAATTGGGGCAAACTTCCCACACAGAACCCCCATGACCAACAGAAAATACTTAAGGCCATCGAGTTAAACTCCCTTCACCAGGGCAAGAATACATAATCAAAGCCCTTCTGACAAAGATAGATAGATAGATATGATTCACACACACACACAGATCATAGATTTGAAAGGGACCCCTAAAGAAGGACAATTATATGTTCCATATTCCAGAGTAGGCAAACCAGACCATCCACACATCAACACTGACAAAGAAACAAGAAATTACATATATTAGAAACCCACACTTTCACATTACTTTATTTTCCAGATTACCAGACTGGGCCACAGCAAGGCGTGGCAGGGGACGGCTAGTCTATTTAAATAAAAATGTAATGTTCGTTTGTGGGATTATCAGAACTCAAAATCCACTGGATGAATTGACACCCAATTTGGACACAAGACACCTAACAACCCAATGTATGTCCTTCACTCAAAAAAACTGATTTTGTCACTTGGGAGTTGTAGTTGCTTGGATTTATAGTTCACCTAAAATCAAAGAGCATTCTGAACCCCACCAATGTTGGAATTGAATCAAACTTGGCACACAGTTCTCCCATGACCAACAGGAAATACTGGAAGGGTTTGGTGGGCAGCGTCCTTTGGTTTTGGAGTTATTTATTTATTTATTTATCGTGTCAGGAGCAACCAGACATTTGTATTACATTTTTAACAAAACAAATAGATAAAAAACAAAGTTTGCAAGCTTGGTAGTTGATGAAATGTCCTTTGACCAGCATCTGGCCACTTGGAGAGCCTATGGTGTTGCCGCAAGGAGGTCCTCCATTGTGCATGTGGCAGGGCTCTCAGGTTGCATTGCAGCAGGTAGTCTGTGGTTTGCTCTTCTCCACACTCGCATGTCGAGGATTCCACTTTTGAGTTGTAGTTCACCTACATCCAGAGATCACTGTGGACTCAAACAGTGATGGATCAGGACCAAACTCTCCACGAATACTCAATATGCCCAAATGTGAACACTGGTGGAGTTTGGGGAAAATAGAATCTTGACATTTGGGAGTTGTAGTTCACCTACAATCACAGACCATTCTGAACCCCACCAACGATAGAATTGGGCCAAACCTCCCACACAGAACCCCCATGTGGGCCACAGTAACGCATGTCAGGGGATGGCTAGTAGTACAATAAAGCAATATACAACAGAAAAAAATAACATACAAAATCAATACAAATATACACATCAAACAATATAAAATCAGAACACTTGAACACAGAAAATTAATCACAGTGGGTAGGGCCAGTTGCAAAGAATTAAAAATTTAAAAACACTGGGTGAGGGAGCAATGTAAGCTGTCAGGATAGCAGATCCGGGGGACAACATATGATTACTAGCAGGAAAAAAGTGCTTCCAAGGACATTTTTGCAGAATTTGGCCAGGTCGGGATTATTGTTCATTCATCATTATAGAGGCGACACTATAAATGGGGCAAGCAGAAATAGGATGGAGTTGGAAGAGACCTCAAGGGCCATCCAGTGCAACCCATATTCCGCCATGCAGGAACACACAATCAAAGCATTCCTAACAGATGGCGTCTGCTTTAAAAGCTCCAAAGAAGGGAGGACTCCACTACACTTCAAGGAGGTGGCATATTCCACTGTGAAACACTTCTCACTGTCAGGCAGTTCTCCCTAATATTTAGGCAGAATCATTTTTAGTTTGAATTCTATCGGCTATGTTTCTGTTAGATGTTTTGTTTTATGTTGATATAATTTATAATTTATTTGATAGGTTATGTCTTATTTTAATTTTAGATGTTAGGCTATAATTTGTTTTTATTCATTGGGTTATTATTTTTTGCTATTATGTGTGTATTGGTTGTCGTATTCGGGCATTGAATGTTTGCCTTTTTTGTGATTAGAATCTGCCCTAAGTCCCTTTGGGGAGATAGGGTGGAATATTGTTATTATTGCTGCTGCTACTACTCCCCCATGTTGTAGCCCAAGTATGGGAAAGCTTCAGCCCTCCAAGTGTTTTGGACTTCCAGTAAGCTGTTAGGAATTGTGGGAGTTGAAGTCCAAAGCACCTGGAGGGCCAAAGTTTCTCCATGCTTGCATTTTAACTGGCATGGCTGCCTCCCATGGATTTCTGGATTTGTTGTTAGAAAGGTAAAATAAAATGCATTCTCATCAGTTCACCTCGCCTCCAGGCAACACATCTGTGGTTCTCAACCAGTGGGTTCCCAGGTGTTTTGGGCTACAACTCCCAGAAATCCTAGCCAGTTTACCAGCTATTAGGATTTCTGGGAGTTGAAGGCCAAAATATCTGAGGACCCACAGTTTGAGAACCACTGACCTAGAGATTCCTAGAGAGAATACATTAAGGAAATATATGACTAATCAAAACCATAAAAGTGAAACCTGCAAATATGGAGGACTGACTGCATTGTGAATTTATATTTTTGACCAGCATCCTGTGGAGATTGTAATTTTTGTAAATGCACTTGTTTCTGGGGATAAGAATTGAGCAGTTCTGTAACATTGTATTCAAAAAGTTGCTATTATATCACTGACTGCCCCATCTCTCTCTAAAATAGCATTGTTTCTGGCTTTTTTTGAATGCCTGATTTGCTCACACCAAAATCCATAACTTTGGCCCCAAATATTGCCCTCAACTTATACATTATACTACCTTGACTTATGCTATTTATTTATTTATTTATTTATTTATTTATTTATTTCGGATCAAAAGCATTACATAAATTAGTATAAACTGATAAAAATAGAAGGCGCACAGGCGGCTAAATATCTTTTGACCAAAAACAGCATTGACTTATACTAAAGTACATACAGTAATTTAGCACCACTAATTCATTCCAGTTTTCAACCAAATGCTGACTTCAATAATGTTTGTAGTAGCAATTACTATTTTATGTTATATGAATATAATTTTAAGTTGCTACTTTTGATTAACTTTGCAATGATTATCCCTTGTGAATATTTTTAACCATTTAACAATTTAAAGGGCAGATACTTTTTTTAATGAGGCAGCTTTTTCACAGTTATGATGAGTTGTTGGGGAAATTGATTTTAACAGAATGGATGCTCCTTTTTCTTTTATAGATGAGTGGGTTTGTGTGTGCTTTTAATCTCTGGTGTTTTAACTGTATCAGCATTGTATGACTGAAACCATTAGCCAACTTGAATGCCATTCTTGATAGTCTATTTTCAGTCTCTTTCTATAAAAGTCAAAGTATGTCTGTCTTCACCACAAAAGGTGTTGCTAGGTAAAGTTGCCCTCTGTGATATCACTGGACTGGCTGCTGCTAGTTGAAAGATTGCCTGTTGATAGATAAAATGGGCCTCTGTGATGTCCCTGGAATAGAAGGGTGACATGTATATGAGGGGATGAGATGAAGAATGGAAAGATCAACAAGGAGAGCCATGTTGAGGCAGGTCCTCTGAGCTGGAGAAAGGAGAAAGGGTAGAGGAAAGAAAGACAAAAAGAAAGGAAATAAAGAGGGGGGGGAGAAAAAGGGAGGAAGGACTGTAGGGAAAGAAAAGGAGAAAATATATTAGAGAGGGAAAGAGAAAGATGGGATGGAAGTGGGGGAGGGTATTCCAACACCCAGGTAATGCTGGTAAATAAACTTATACAATCAGAGGCATGAAATTGTTGAATTAATCAGTGAATAATCATTTGGATTCTTTAAGCACACCTTTTTGATTGACTGTCGAGGAAGCATTTCTCAGGCTCTGGCCAAATTCAGCAACAATGGCATACTTCAACAATTAGAATTGCTTCTCTGTTAGACATCACATTTGAGCCAAAATCATGGCACGATTTCATAATTTTTACAGTAGTGTTTTGTGTTTGCCTTTGTGTTTCTTATTTATTTTAATAGCAAGAAGGGTCCTTGTGTGCCCAACACTGTTTGAATAATCTGCTGCAAGGGGAATATTTCAGTCCTGTAGAACTGTCCTTTATTGCACAACAGCTGGATGAAGAAGAAAGAAAAAGAATGGCAGAAGGAGGACTTTCTAGTGAAGAATATAGGACATTTTTACAGGTACCAAACTTTAAAGTTATTTAAACTGGCTGACTTATCCTGCAGGCTTGTGTTATGCAGATTTTGTGTTCTGGTCAGGATAGTTCCATTGCAGAACTGTAATTCTGTACATCATATTTAGGTTTTCTGTTTAATGTTTTTAACACAAATCACTGTTCCAGAAAACTCAAACCAAAAATATCTCTTGCCCTGCTTTTAAGTTGGTGCCTACAAAAAAAGGTAACACAGGAGGAGTTATGCATCCAAGATGGTAATTGTTTAAGATGGTAGCACCCATTGGGTTCTCAAATTGCCTTTGAGTCAATTTTCTGTATTCCTCTACATGTTTTCTGTCAATGTCAGGCCAGGATCCAATTAAGTATATCTTTTGGTGAAAAATCTACATCAACAGATCCCAGAATAAATACAGGGATCAACAGATCCCAGAATAAATAGATTTAACTCCCCAAGCCTTCCTTAAGTTTCTACAATCCATCCACTTCCCCAAAAATGTTGTCTGAAATGGGGATCTAGATCTTTTGAGAAATACATTTTGTGAAAAGCTATACAATATTAAGAAAAAAACAGTACCAAAATCAACCCATGGTCATTTGTTTTATTTGTGTGCAGTTCAAGGATAGTTTGAAACATACTGCATGTTCCGGGGTGGATAAAGTGTTAAAATGGCTATATATCTTGCACAGTTTTTGATTTCTTAAACTGTTTGAGCAGTATGGATTAATCATGTTTTTACTTATGTTTCTTTGGTCAATAGCAACCCTCTGGAAACATGGATGATAGTGGCTTTTTCTCAATTCAAGTAAGCATTCGGATATAGCCCCACTCTTTTGAAAATATTGAGATTAGTGCATTTCAATAAAAGCATTGTCTGTGTTTTAGGAAGTTTAGGAGATACCTGGTGAAATTAGATATCTTAGAATGTGTTCACCTTTCAAAAGTATAGTTCAAAATGATAATGTAGATATATCACTGGATTGGGTCCTTGCACTTGGAGTCCTGCAGTTAGACTTTGAATGGGTCTAAAGCAGCCCAGAAGTGTGGTAGAAATCTATATATTGCTGGACTGCAAGTACTTGAATCCCTAACCAGTGTAGGCAAAGGTGAGAAATGCTGAGAGTTGTAGTCAGATTCATCTACGTACTTAGGTATGTGGTTTGCTTATCTCTGTCTTCTAGGGTGGCAAACCATTAGTGTATTGAGCTGTTCTTTAAGTTCTCGATTAAAATATGCAGGGGGGCATGTAGGAAAATTTCCACTCACTTGTGATCCTAATAAATAGATTAGTCTGTCAGTTGAAAGCCTTGTGTTCAATTGAGAGTTGTAAAAAGCAATGGAGAAGCCCCACACTTTATAGAGCATGTGTATAAATTGTTTCTACTTAAGTGATGTTTCTAAACCAAGTGTGTAAAATGTGGTTGGCATGCAGACAAAATTTTGACCCCGTGTTGTGCTAGCAGATGCCTTCTAGTTCAACAAAATATTCTTTCCCTCCCTCCAGCCCTCTGCACCACCAGAAAGCCACCTCCAGAGGGTTTCCTATCCTTCCAGAGCAGGTTTTACAGTGGACAGGGGGCTGCAGAAGTGAGAGGATATTGCAGGTCAGCAGCAAAACCACCCTATGGGATTATAGTCATTTATAGACACGAAGAAAGCATTTTATTTATCATGTCCTTATAAGCTCTTTTGTAGGTATGGCAGAGTGAAAGGTGGGCTATATCTTAAGTAAATCACCAAGGCTGATGTGTATGTGTTCCCTAAACTCTGTATGTTTGCTGCAAGAAACACTGGAGTGCAAGTACTATAAGAAATTTGTGCTGTAGTGCTACTCTGCATTTCTAAAACAGATTGAGATTACTGAAACAGGGAGACTTTCTTTGGAATTCCAATTTGCTGTAAATTGCTTTACTGTTTTGTACAGAGTGTATATCTGGGGTGAAGGTGAATTGTCTTTTTAAATTTCCTATCTGCCACTCCAAACAGCTTTCAATGATGTGTGAAGACGTTTGATATTAACTATGTATTTCAAACTAAAAATCTAATGGCAAATACAATAGAGTCTCGCTTATTCAACCTTCACTTTTCCGACATTCTGCTTTATCCAACATTTAACGCCACACACCCCCCCCCCTTTCCCTCCAACATTTCCCTTTCAATTAAAGGACCTTTCCCCAATTCTCTCTTCATTCCCAATAAGCGAAAAAGGCAAGACAAGGAGGAGGGAAGAAAGAGGGGAAAGGGGCAGGACCGGAAGCGGAAGTATCCTCCCTCTGTGATTTCCACGCTTCCCTCCTTCCCTCTGTGATTTCCACGCTCCTCTTCTACATCTGGGCACTTCCTGCTGGGCAGCTCTAGCCCTGAGGCATTGCTTTGTCTTAACCCTTTGAGTCTCTATTGTTAGTATTCTAGGTGTCTAGAACCTCCTTGGGACAGGTAACAATAGGAGACTCCATATTATTCAACATTTTCGTTTACCCAATGTTCTGCCAGCTCGTTTATGTCAGATAAGCAAGACTCTACTGTATATGTTTATAATGTTGCCAAAAATATACAGATAATATGTGCACATTTAGGATTTTTTGGGTAGGTCTTCACTTGCCTAGAACACAGTGGCATCTGTATTTCGGGTTAATGGCTAAAGGAATTAGGGATATAGCCCCAAAATAACTTAGCAATGTACATTTTAGGCACATAGCATATATCTGATGCTTTAAAGGTGAAATAAAGTGATGAGTGTACAGCTACTTGTAGTACAATTCTGAAATTGTGAGCTTTTTGAGAATCACTTGGTAAAAGTATGTATTTGTTATTCACTCGTTGCCGTGTTATGTATGGTCTGCTGAATGTAGATTCATGAAGGTTGACCTTGAATTTTTCTCACTCCAATAGTTTTCTTTATATGAAACCTAGAATTTTTACCAATCCCAGCTTTGTGAAAACAATATATTTGTTTTAATAGTGGCTAAAATGGTTGCATTGCTTTAAATTTGTAACTGACTGGTTTATTTCATGAAAAGTGCTGTTTTTTGACAGGTTATAAGCAATGCCTTGAAAGTTTGGGGTTTAGAACTAATCCTCTTCAACAGCCCAGAATATCAGAGGCTCGGAATCAACCCTATGTAAGACTTTCTATTTAGCTCCCTTTTTCCATATACCGAAAGATCAAATAATGCCAGAAAAAGAAACCTTTTGTTTCCCTCAGAGAGTTTCTTTTGAGAATTGCTATCTGAAGTTTTGGTTTTATCCCCCCAGCTTACTCTTTTTCATATTTTTGAGGCTTTACATGTCCCCTTGTCCTCTGAGCCTTCATGATATCTCAGTATCTGTGGCATCACAGAATGCTGACTTTGAATGGTATGTGGCATTATATCTGCTTTATGACATCATTCTGTTTGTCTAGATTTATAAAATATATTACATGCTAAACATATTTCCAACATAATGCTGTAAGAATACTCTGAACCACCAAAGCAGATCAAATGATTAGATCTAATCTGAATTTTAGTTCTGTTTCCTAAAATGTTTTTAAAATACAAAATTGTATGACTAAGGATTCCAAAATAAACCCTTAAACATGAGTTCTAACATTTCATTGTTTCTTTTTCTTCTTTCAGAAATGAAAGATCTTTTATTTGTAACTATAAAGAACACTGGTTTACAGTTCGAAAATTAGGAAAACAGGTGATATTCTCTTTTTTCCTTCTTTCTAAAAAATGGTTATAAACATAGAAATCAAAAGAATATTCCTTTTGGGAATTGATACTGCCCTCACATAGTTGAACATTTAGGATTGAGCTTCATAGTTTATAATATTACAAGTCACTTGTGCATTTTGATATGAATTAAAGAACTTTTTTTTAATTGCAAGAGCTTTTTCACAATGAAATAGACTGCTATGTTAATGGACTTGCTCTCTTTGGCAGTCTTTAAGCAGAGGCTAGATGGCCACCTTTAAGGAGTGCTTTTAGTTGTGAATTTCTGTATGGTGAGGGATTTTTACATGCCTTTTCGAATTTAGAGTGCTATGATTTTATGATAAAGCACATCATATTAGATTCATCGAGGCCAGGCTTCTTTATAAGGTAAAGGAGTGAGCTGTTCAGTAGTGAAATGGAGTACTTCAGAGGGTGTAGGACATCTCTAAAACGAGGCCAAGAAAACAGACCATCATCCCCATTCCTTTCAGAAACATCTTCATGGACAACATCCCCATCCCCATCAGAGGAATCAACTTGAACATGAACAACATTGTCATCCCCATCATCCAAAGCAACCTGATCATTAGACACAATCACAGGCTGAACATTAAAGTTCTTTCAACTGTATGATTTGATGAAACATGGGCATGGGGAGTACACCACTTCCAGGCTTAGTTTGAAAACTCAACATAATTTTGCACCAGAATCCCAAAGATGTATTCTTCAACATAGTGGTGTGATGTCCAACCCACACATTATGAGATGAGTAGAGAAATAACTCAACTATTTTTTTTAAAATGGAGGACTTCAGAACATATAAATATCTAAAGATAGTATTTAGAGTCCCTATTGGGAAAGGTGACAGCCTTGCTGTTCAGATACTTAATAAAGTACTGCCTTGTAAGAAATAGTTCATGTATGGGCTGTTGTAGGTTTTTCAGGCTATATGGCCATGTGCTAGAAGCATTCTCTCCTGACGTTTTGCCTGCATCTATGGCAAGCATCCTCAGAGGTTGTGAGGTCTGACCTCACAACCTCTGAGGATGCTTGCCATAGATGCAAGCGAGATGTCAGGGCGATAGACACGATCGCCCTCCAGCTCCAGGGCTTCCTGGATGACATCAATTACCTGGATCGGGCACAGTCTGGTTTCAGGCCTGGTCATGGCACCGAGACAGCCTTGGTCGCCTTGGTGGATGACCTCCGTAGAGGACAGGGGGAGTGTAACCCTGCTGGTCCTCTTGGACATCTCAGCGCTTTCGATACCATCGATCATGGTATCCTTCTGGGTCGGCTCTCTGGGATGGGTCTTGGGGGCACGGTCCTGTCGTGGCTCCGGTCCTTCCTGGAGGGACGAACCCAGATGGTGAAGCTGGGAGATGCCTGCTCGGACCCCTGGCCTTTGACCTGTGGGGTCCCGCAAGGCTCTATTTTATCTCCCATGCTTTTTAACATCTACATGAAACCGCTGGGAGAGGTCATCCAGAGTTTTGGAGTTGGGTGCCATCTCTACGCAGATGACACACAACTCTACTACTCTTTTCCACCTAATTCCAAGGAGGCCTCTCGGGTGCTGGACGAGTGCCTGGCCGCTGTGTCTATCTGGATGAGGACGAACAAGCTGAAGATCAATCCCGACAAGACAGAGGTCCTCCTGGTCGATCGCAAACCAGACCGGGGTATAGGGTGGCAACCTGTGCTGGACGGGGTTACACTCCCCCTGAAGCCACAGGTCCGCAGCTTGGGAGTCCTCCTGGACTCATCGCTCACGCTTGAGGCTCAGGCGTCGGCGGTGGCCGGGAGGGCTTTTGCACAACAGACTTGTGCGCCAGCTGCGCCCGTACCTCGCGAAGGCTGATCTGCACAGAACTTTACCTCAGAAAATAGTGTGTTGGTTGCACAACTGAGACTTGTGCGCCAGCTGCGCCCGTACCTCGCTAAGGCTGATCTGGCCGGGGTGGTCCATGCCTTAGTCACCTCTAGACTGGATTACTGCAATGCGCTCTACGTGGGGCTGCCCTTGAAAACGGCTCGGAAATTCCAATTGGTCCAACGGGCAGCAGCCAGGATGCTAACGGGGGCCCATTACAGAGAGAGGTCAACCCTCCTGTTTAAGGAGCTCCACTGGCTGCCGTTTATTTTCCGAGCCCAATTTAAGGTGCAGGTGCTTACCTACAAAGCCCTGAACGGTTTGGGACCACCCTACCTGCGTGACCGCATCACAGTCTACGAACCCACATGCTCACTCCGGTCATCAGGAAAGGCCCTGCTCATGATCCCGCCCGCGTCGCAGGCGCGTTTGGTGGGGACACGGGACAGGGCCTTCTCTGTGGTGGCTCCCCGCCTCTGGAATGCCCTCCCGAAAGATCTCAGACAGGCCCCTACCTTGGCGGTTTTCAGAAAGAACCTGAAAACCTGGCTGTTCCAACGTGCCTTCTCAGATTAGGAACCCCACTACCAAAGCCCAGAAGCACTTTAGTAGAGTCAAGATCACCCTCACCGCACACTGCACTTATATTTAATCCCATATCCCTCCGACACTTCAGCACTTTTAATCCTGTACCCTACTCCTGGCCGGCTCAGTTTTTAATAATGTCTTGTTGTATTGCTATTGTTTATTGTTTTCTGCTTTAACTGTTTTATTTGCTATGTATTGTATTGTTGTATTGTGTTGGGCTCCGGCCTGTTGTAAGCCGCATCGAATCCCTTGGGAGATGCTAGCGGGGTACAAATAAAGTTATAATAATAATAATAATAATAATAATAATAATAATAATTCCAGCTATGAAAGCCTTCGACAATATAATTCATGTATGCTGTAGCATACTATATTAGTCTAACAACAGTTGCTCAGAGAAAAGGTAGATGCTTGCTATGTTTAAGAATAGAGTAATTAAATAACATGGTAACCACCTTTATTTGATACCTATTTTTAAAATTACAGTGGTTCAACTTGAATTCCCTTTTGACGGGTCCAGAACTAATATCTGACACCTACCTTGCACTTTTCCTGGCCCAGTTACAACAGGAAGGTAATTCTGACTTTCAGATGTCAAACCTTTTTACAGAAAGCCTTGTTTGTCTTAATATTTGAGCAAAACAGTAAAGTCATAAAATGTTGCTATAATGAACAAAAGACAAAAATGTCACAGTGGGGCAAAAGATTATTTCCTGCTTCTTCTCTTTTTCATATTTATTGATAGCCTCTCTCTCATACTGGACTATGTGTTTTTATCTTCCTCAGGTTATTCAATATTTGTTGTAAAAGGTGATTTACCAGATTGTGAGGCTGATCAGTTATTGCAGATTGTTCAGGTGCAGCAAATGCAGCGGCCTAAACTGATTGGGGAAGATAGCCTGCAATCAAAAGATCAGAGGTAAGGTAAATAAAAACTCAATATTATAATGTGTTGAATGTGAACTGTGAATAATTCCAAACCCTAAATGCAAATATGGAAGTACTATGGGAAATAACACCTGCAGTTTGCAAAGGATCATGGGGCGTCATTTCCCACACTTGCTTTTGTTTTGTCTGCACAACTGTTTTATGGTGTGCTGTCAGATTCCTTTTTCCCCACTCTCTGTGTCATAATTTCTATATGAAATACTCAAGAATATAAAGTTTTCTTTATGAAGATTGCATATGACTAATAATAATGAAGCAAAATATTTTAAGCTATGGCTGTCATTCCCTTAAGGAAAGAAAAGGATTTTTTTTCCTCCTCATATAAAAACCCTAAATTATAGTTATGTGCACGAATGAAGCTGTAATAAGGATTCTAGGTGACACGAGCTACACTTCACCTGGAAGTGTTGGTATGCTCTTAATAACTGTTTATCTTCTTTTGCCCTGTTACGTTTTTCTCAGCCATCCTAACTAATTTCTGCATGATGTCAGCATGGTATTTTGAACTCTTAACTTCCTGACTAGCAGCTCCTCAGAGCAGGGATACTTTGTTCATATTGATTAACATAAACTGCATTTGTTATTATTTGTTATGTTATTATTTGTAGACAAACTCATATTTAATACTGTGGAATTTGTCTAACATAATGTATCAAAGTGAGGGGCAGTTATGGGCAGAAGTTAGTTAACTAGAGGACATAAGACATGTGGTTTTCTTTCATTTCTTACGGTTTTGGATAGGGGCTGGAAAGCAACTGACTTTGATGGATGTTTAGCATTCACGTTTGTGAATCATTAGGAGCTGTAACATGCTATTTTGTGGGTTGTTGTGGGTTTTTTCGGGCTATATGGCCATGGTCTAGAGGCATTCTCTTCTGGAGAGAATGCCTCTAGACCAGGGGTCCTCAAACTAAGGCCCGGGGGCCGGATGCAGCCCTCCAAGGTCATTTATCTGGCCCTTGCTCAGGGTCAACCTAAGTCTGAAACGACTTGAAAGCACACAACAACAACAATCCTATCTCATTAGCCAAAAGGAGGCCCACACTTCCCATTGAAATACTATTAAGTTTATATCTGTTAAAATTGTTCTTCATTTTAATTATTGTATTGTTTTTAAATATTATTTGCACTACAAATAAGATACGTGCAGTGTGCATAGGAATTCATTCATGTTTTTTTTTTCCAAATTATAATCCGGCCCTCCAACAGTTTGAGGGACTGTGGCCTGGCCCTCTGTTTAAAAAGTTTGAGGACCCCTGCTCTAGACCATGGCCATATAGCCCGAAAAAACCTACAACAACCCAGTGATTCTGGCCATGAAAGCCTTCGACAATACATGCTATTTTATGTTCTTATTAGTCCTATAAGATGTTTTAGGGAATCTGATTTGAAACCTTTAAATTAATGATTTTTTAAAGGAGAGACTTTATAAAGTTTTTTTTTTCTGAGGAAGAAGAATGTAATTGGCTGTTTTTAAAATTCCACATTAGAATGGAAACATTTATATTTACCTTTGTAATTTCTATAGGGTGCAAAAACCGGATGTAGAACAAACAGTAGATGTTAACCATTCTGATGGCACGGCCATGTTAGATGAAGATGAAGAAAACTTCCAAAAAGCACTTGCTCTCAGCAGGCAGGAGATTGATATGGAGGATGAAGAAGCTGATCTCCGTCGAGCCATTCAACTTAGTATGCAAGGTAGAAAGACCTTTAATTGAAAGTATGTTTTGTCATATTTCATCTTATAAGATGCAAGGTAGTATCCAAGATATCAAAATTACAATAGAATATACCTGTATCTTAAATTTTTAAAAAATAATTTGTAAAAACAAGTTTTCACTAAAATGTTCAATATGGTGGCTGCTCTATTACTGAGTGGGAGGCAACCAGGAAACCAGACACAGCTGGCTTCCTGGTTGCCTCCCATTTACTCATTTGTATTTTTATTACATTTCATTTAAATTGTAAGCTTGATGACAAATTAACGTTTTGTAAGCTGCACTGAGAGCCCATGAACTATAGGATCTGTAACCAAGGTCACATACATTTCCCAACTTCCACTTTTGTGGCCCCCTGAACACTCATCTTGGAAAGGTTTTGTGGCAGATTTCCTCCTCCTGGTCCCCTATTCTCCCCCATCTCTCCATTGAAAGTAATGTGATGTTACTTAGGCTGTGTCAATGCAGCTGGGTCAGAATTGTCTCCTACTCTTGTGCAGTGGCCTCCCTCTGGTATACACCAGACACAGGGTGATTGGCTGTTTAAATTGTAAACTTAAGTATGTATTATATTTCAAATGACCTCCAGTTCTGGAAAAATTCACTTTATGAGGCCTGATCATTTGATATGTGTTTTTAATTACGACTCATTCATTATTTTACTGTGCTTTGTTTTTATGATTGTATATGGCATTGAATATTTTCCTTTGTATTGGAAGCCGCCCTGAGTCCCTCCTGGGAGAGAGGGAGGGTTAGAAATATGTTGTTGTTGTTGTTGTTATATTAAACCACCCTGCCTCAGTAATGGTGCTCATGTTTTAATTTTAGGAGGCCCTCGAACTGGCTTTCCAGAGTCTTCCACACATAATGTTCCACACTCCTCAGGAACAAACCTGGCTGAATCGTTGACATCTGAAGAACTGCGTCGAAGAAGACAGGCATATTTTGAAAAGTAAAGTTGATTCTTTCAAAGTGAGATTTGTGGATAGATAGTCCTGAAAACAGTAATTGGTACCTTTAATTATCACTTAACTTATTATCCATTTTTTTGTAATGCAGAAGGATATATAGTGGTAGATTCTCATCACAAATGCGTTTTTGTTAGGTGTGATAAATTGCAAGCCCAGACACAGCAGGATCTCAGCTCTTCTCTTTTGCTCTTTTTGTTTGGTTTTCATTCCTGACAAATATCATACCCTTTTATTCAAGTGAGTTGTAACATCACCTTTCATATTCATTTAGAAATTCCAGGTGCTCCCTAGTTGACATAATTGTATTTCTTCCTCACAGTAAGCCTCTATTTCACCAGCATGCAGCATATCTAACCTGGATAGTCATGCTATTGCTATTTGTTTTAAACATAACATCAAATTCTTAGATATGCCACAAAACTTCCAATTTCTTCCTTTTTTACAACAATAATTACAGATTATATTAATAAAATCTGATATCACTACCATACATTCACATAGTGGGAGAATTATTGGATTGAATGATTGGAAGGAACTCCCTTCCTGGCAATATTAGATCAGCCCCCTGCCTCCTGTCCTTCAGAAGGATGGTGAAGACCTGGCTGTGGGACCAAGCCTTTGGGGCAGTGCAATGAGGCAATAATAGAATGGTGTCATGAGATGGTTTTTAAGCAACTGATTTTAAAGAGAATATAAGTGATTTTAATGTTTGTGTATATTTATGGTTTTATGTCCCGGCATTGAATGTTTGCCATATATATATATGGGCCTCTGGCCTTAGTCCCCTTGCAGGTGAGAAGGGCGAAATATAAATGTTTCAAATAAATAAATAATGCATGAAAAACCTCACAACCTCCGAGGATGTTTGCCACAGATGCAGGCAAAACGCCAGGAAAGAATGCTTCTAGAACATGGCCATACAGCCCGAAAAACCTGAAACAACCCAATGCATGAAAAACATTTTAAGAATATTTATAGTTCATATTTAATCTTGTAATAAAAAATAGTAGCTACAGAAGTTTACTACCTGTTGCAACACTTCCATGAAAGAGAAATTCAGCTATAATCTGTCTTCAGAAACAAATAGATGAATGTTTTATAATAATGTGCACTATAATTGTTTTTCATATAGTGTAATAGATCAGTCTGGTTTTCATTGACAAATTTCTGTGAAATTTGTTGATTTTGGTTCATTAAACTATAGTATTTTCCGCATAATTGTTGACAAAGTTGTTGATCAGAAATTCCTGACAAATATTAATAATTTCTTAGACATTTATATATAAATCAATTTGTTAGCTCCAACAAAAGTATACACATTTGAATCAATGGGATTTTTATATATCCCTGTCATTTATAATAGATATGTTCTAGTTAAAACTAGCATTTGGGTTTAAGGCTTAATTTTTAAATATGTATAACTGATGATTGAGTAGGACATTTCTACAGTTCATTGCTGAGCGTTTCTAAACATAACAGTTATTACTCCAGCATTGAAGAAATAAACTTAAGGCCCAGGAGAAAGACAAGGAATGATGGGAGTAGTAGACTTTCCTTTATATAATCAAAATTAAATCTTCTGTATTTCCATTCATTTTTGAAACCATTTATTGTTTGATTCTTTCAGACAGCAGCAGCTGCATCAACAAGTTCAGAATCCAGAATTTCATGGCATACCAGTTACAAGTACAAATGCACAAGTGTCGGATCCAGGTACTATTCAGTGCTTAGGATTCTCTTGCATAATATGTGACAATACATACAATAACCTGCTATTAAGTGGTTCTCAACCTGTGGATCCCCAGATGTTTTGGCCTTCAACTCCCAGAAATCCTAGCAGCTGGTGAACTGGCTGGGATTTCTGGGAGCTGTAGGCCAAAACTCCTGGGGACCCACAGGTTGAGAAAAATTGTGCTATTCCATTTGTGGGTTTTGCAAGAATAATTCTCTCCTGATAATAAAACAATAATGGCTGAAGTTTTCAAGTTTGGTAATTATAGTGCAGTTGTTTGTTTAAAGTAAAGATTGATAGAAATATTTATTGTTCTTGTTTATAGACTTGTTCTTACTTTCATATAATTCAGGAGACAATGTAAAATGTCCTTCCTCTCCAGAAGTTGGGAGTTCATCATCTTTTAGTTCCACCCCACATTGCCAATAAATTGTTATTATCGGAATTAATACCAGAAAACATCTAGAGGAGACAGAGCTTAGGGAATTCTAAAGGAACAGCCATCCTTAGCTTCTGATCATACTGTTTCTCCATCCTTTATATATGCTGGTGCAGTGATGTGTGTGATAATAGAACGTTAGAGTTGGAAGCGGCCACAAGAGGCATCCATTCTGCCATGCAGAAAAGAGAAATCGGAAGTAATGGAAGCCAATAAGGACCCACTTACCCCTCAATCTGTTTTGTCTCCTGAATTGTGTGGTCTGCTGCATTTATGTTCTGCCTTCTGTTTCTTGCCTCCGGTGGCGCAGCAGGTTAAACTGCCAGGCTGCTGAACTTGCTGACCAAAAGGTCAGCAATTTGAATCTGGGGAGTGGGGTGAGCTCCCCTTGTTAACCCCAGCTTCTGCCAACCTAGCAGTTCAGAAACATGCAACTGTGAGTAGATCAATAGATGAGCATCACCCCCCCCAGAGTCGGACATGACGAGACTTAATGTCAGGGGAATCCTTTACCTTTACCTCCTATTTCTCGCTATAATACCGTTTTTCAGAAACTTATCTTTTGTTGTTATTGTCACCTAACTCTTTTCTAGTTGTCTTCTACATCCATTATAATTCAGTTTTAAACTTTCTTTTTCTTTGAATGTTATATGTACTTGTTGTCCTGCTCTTTGACCATAGCCGTCTTCAACCTGACATCCTCCAAAAGTGTTATAGACATAGATCCTATCATATTATCCTCTATGGCCACTGGTCATGAGAATAATAAGAATTGCCTAGCATATCTGGCCAATGCCAGTTTGGGAAATACTATTTCTAGTAATAATATGCCTGGTCCTGCAATTGATTGCATGATGAAAAATAAAATAGATTTCAATAATATCGCATGAGAGATATAACAAACGTTGGCTAGTTTAAACTATTATTATTGATCTCGTATACTGTAATTCTGTTTCTCAAACTTTGTTCCACCAACTGTTTTGGACTTCAATTCCCAGGAATCCCAGCCAGCTTACTAGCTGTTAGGAATTGTGTGAGCTGAAGTCCAAAACGTCTGGAGGAGCACAATTTGAGAAACTCCACTGTAATTTATGTTTTGACTCAAAGTGGAGTTCAGTAGTCTCCTGAACTGAAGTGACTACCTTGAAAGTTTTTGTTTTTTTTTTTGGTCGTGTCAGGAGCGACTTGAGAAAACTGCAAGTCACTTCTGGTGTGAGAGAATTGGCCGTCTGCAAGGATGTTGCCCAAGGGATGCCCGGATGATTTGATGTTTTTATCATCCTTGTGGGAGGCTTCTCTCATGTCCCCGCATGAGGAGCTGGAGTTGATAGAGGGAGCTCATCCGCCTCTCCCCGGATTCAAACCTGTGACCAGTCGGTCTTCAGTCCTGCTGGCACAGGGGTTTAACCCATGTGAATGTATTGATTATTAAGATAGGAAGAGTGGTGGGGAGAGGCTATGGAAAAGAGGTTGGTCAGTGTGTTATTTCCTGATCTCATACACCATAGTTTGTGTTTTTTTTGGCATGATATTCTAAAATCAAATCCATTTTGTCTTGTTTCCTGCCAGGAGGCGTTATGAGTGAAGATGATATGCTTCAAGCAGCCATGAATATGTCCTTGGAAACTGTTAGAAACAACATGAATGTAGAAGAAAAGAAATGATAAAAATGCCTATTTTTGTTTTTATCTCAAACACTAAATCCTGTATTAATCTTGTGAGGATGGTATAAAAGTCGGGTTCATTTCACTGATGTACCAAAGCAGGATATTGGCTTGAAACCTTTGGGATTCATGATCAGAATTAAAAGGCAGCCTTCATATAACATAAATAAAATATTACCAGTGAATGGTTTTAGCTTTGACCACATGGTTAGTTCTAATCAAGTTGATAGAGACTCCCCATCTGAGTAAAGAGATAGCATTCTGTCATAAAGTCTTCCCCAGCACTTTCCCAACCTGTGTAGGCATTCAGGGTGTGTTTATGATATTGGGAAATAGTTGTAAAGTACCACAGCCCCAGTCAGTTATGATGCTGTGCTCTTGCAGATTCCTTTTTCTCGGAGCAACATTGCCTTTAAAAATAGACCCACATTCATAATCATGAGACCTGTATGTTGACATCTGAAACCTCTTAGACTCACATGTTTAAGGGTATTCTAACCTTCCCTTCTATATTCTGAATCATATAAATATGATTTGCCATTAATTTCTGAAAGGTATTCCAGTTACACTGTATGTAAACAAAATGTTGACAAGTATTTTTGTTATAACATGAAAGCATTTTATAGGTGAGAGTATTAAAATTGTGTGCAAAAACAGAGAAAAATCTGTTTTAAGTTGTGAAACCCAGTGAGTTAAAGCATATGTTGAATTCTAAGTCTTGCAAGAGATAGGCAAGACAAGTTCATCATGGATCACATTTAAAAGACAGAATTCTTAAGCTCATACTAGAGTTTTCCTCTTTTATTTTAAGAAGAGGAGGAAAGGAATTTTTAAATATATTCTTCTGATAAATTTTGGGCAATCTCCATCATGGTGTTTTGTCCTAGCACAAGCACTCAAGTATATGAATGTTGGCTGAATAACTTGACAGTGCTGCGTTATTTGTTATGCAATCACCTTTATTCCTTTTCTGTTTGGAAATTAAATCTTTGCTTTATGCTTTCTCTTTACTGTTTTGTTTCTACATGTATTAAAGGAAGTTATGTAGCTGCCTTACATTAAGCACAGTCTACTCTGATGGGCAGCATCTCTCAAAGATCTCAAATACTAATTTTTTCAAGTCCTTCTGAGTTGCTTTGGACTGGAGATGTCTGGGATTAAACCTGGGACATTCCGCATGCAAAGCATGTAATCTTCCACTGAATTATGGTCCTCTGAGTATTCCAGACTGTCCAGAATTGAGGAAGAGAAGGAAACATTTTAATGCCACGACTTCAGTGCCACGCCATGATTATGCATACAAGATACATGAAATGAACCCTGCATGGATACCTATGTGTTGAGAATGAATATTCATAAAGGAATGTGTGAGTGGGTGTGTATTCTATCAGAAGTTAATGAATGTCTTTTGCCTGTAAGAATTTTGAAGCTTTTCATGAATGGCCTTTGTTCATGCACCTTACAGTTTTCTGTCATTGTTTCTGTTACTGAGAGAATAGGGAGCAAACCTACTTTTTTGTTAGTCAAATTATACTTTTGATATACAAGATTTCTATGACAGAATGACCAAAATTGGCATTCTGTGTTACAAAAACAGTTTTTCTGTTTTGCAATTGGTGCTTTAAGCATACCTTCTGTTTACATATTATATCTGATTGCTCTGGTTATGGATGTTTACAGTGTTCAGACTGTATTCTCAGCCCATAGGCATTAGCCAGATACAGTAAGAAAATATTGGAAAATCTATTTGTGTTTGCTCATTGTTTCAAAATTATTATTATTGCACCATACTGATGTGTCACTCCTAGCTACTGAATGAAAAATATAATTGTATGCAACTATATGGTACGATAGGGAATAATGCGATATAAAAAGAGCACTTGGATTTTGATGATACTGGTTTACAGTAATGGATTTTAAATGGCTCTGTACGTATAAGGAGCCAAATCCCAGTTATCTTATTTGCATGCTTCATGTTTTGTTGATCTTTGTGAAGTATTGGCAATGGGATGTGGCTCTGAATATGAGCATTACTTTTAGGACTGCATCTAGCTTTACTGTTTCCATAAACCTAAGGCAGCACTATTTGACCATACTTGACTTTTTTAATAGTAGGAAACTTCATGCGCAGATCATGGATTTTTAAAACAGCTGCAACATTCGTTACTTAAAGTTATCTGCATTTATTATAATTTTGTTGCTTTTAAGCTATTACTTGAAAATGAATATGCGAAGGGATTCATATAACGCATGAAATGAAATCATACCACTCTGTATAAAACATAAGTTTATTTTTTCTTTGTACTTTTCCAATAAATGGTGTTCTTCTGGACAAGCTGAATCTGAATGAATTTAGGGCCCTTTCTTTCAAAAGATATGGTGTGCTGAGGTGCAGATCTCTAATGAAACACCTTTACCATGCCAGTCATTTTTAAAAATTACCTTTGTTTAAAATGTACTCAAACAAAAAGAGGAGAAGGGACATTTAGGAATCAAGCTGTGGTTGAAATATAAATGCCTTACATAATTCAGACAGAACATGTTTTTTTGCAATCTCCTTTGAAATGCAAGATTTCTTTATGCTGAAATATTAGCTGAAACTAGATTTAAATCAGAGGTGGATAATGGGTGGCTGATGGATGACATACAGGTTCCTCAAGGGACTTTCTGTGACAAGCAACCCCTCTAGAGAAAGGTTAGAAAAAGCCCACAGAGTTTTACAACTCGTGTAGACTTCCAAAAGTAGTAGTTTTATTATTCTTGAAGATGGCAGGTGCCAATACCTTTGAAGCAGCCTGCATAACATAAAATACATTGGCCATCACTGGTGTTCTAGACACAGACCTTCTTTACTTGCCTGTCCTCCCACCTGCTTTTAAAAATTGTGACGCCCTCAAATCACTTAATGCAGCGTTTCTCAACCTGGGGTTGGGACCCACTGGGGGGTTGTGAGGGGGTTTCAGAGGGGTCGCCAAAGACCATCAGAAAACATATTTCTGATGGTCTTAGGAACCCCTTTGGCAGAGAAGGCTGAAGATCTCTCCGCCTGTCCTCTTCCTTTTTGGAAACAGACAGCAATTCCTCCCACCAAAAGCCCTCCTCTACTGTGATTGGCTGGCCTCTCTGCCGGGGGGGGGGGGGGGGGGGGTGGCTGTTTCTGAGATTCCAAGCAGGGGAGGGGAGAGCAGGCATGCTAGGCACATGCCAGCCTGGTCCGCATGTGTGGGCAAGGGAGAGCGTGTGAGGCTGGAGGGAGACTTGCGCCAGCAAGTACCTTCAAAGCATGGGAGTTCTTTGTAGGAAGTTTGGCACAATTCTATCGTTGGTGGAGTTCTGAATGCTCTTTGATTGTAGGCGAACTATAAATCCCAGCAACTTAATGCAGCGTTTCTCAACCTGGGGTTGGGACCCACTGGGGGGTTGTGAGGGGGTTTCAGAGGGGTCGCTCCCAAATTTCAAGGCCTATTTTCTCCAAACTCCACCAATGTTCACATTGTGCCAAGTTTAGTCAAGGTCTATCATTGTTTTGAGTCCACAGTGCTCTCTGGATGTAAGTGAACTACAATTCCAAAACTCAAGGTCAATGCCCACCAAACCCTTCTTGTATTTTCTGTTTGTCATGGGATTTCTGTGTGCCAAGTTTGGTTCAATTCCATTGTTGGAGTTCAGAAAGCTCCCAGCAACTAAATCCCAGCAACTTCAACTCCCAAATGACAAAATCAACACACCCCCCCCCCACCAAATTTGGTCCAGTGAGTGAAAATACATCCTGCATATCAGATATTTACATTATAATTCATAACAGTAGCAAAATTGCAGTTATAAAGTAGCAACGAAAATAATTTTATGGTTGGGGGTCACCACAACATGAGGAACTTTATTAAGGGGTTGTGGCATTAGAAAGGTTGAGAAACACTGACTTAAGATGGAAAGTGCTTGAGTATTTACTTGTGCAGTCTAACAGCATGATTTCATCAATGTTAAGATCCCATTCTGGCATGAAGAATGGAATGGGATACATTTTATGGTTATGGGTTGATATTTTTAATAATACTTACTTATGCAATTCCTCATTGTCTGAGTAGCATTCTCTTCCAAGATCAGTGTACTGGCGATGGGTCCATAGGTGACTGTGGAATCCCTATTCTTTATCTGCATGTTCTCCCACAGTGAGGGCATTGATTTCCAGGTAGAAGGCAGTCCTGGTGAGGGTTGGCTTAACGCGCCTTGCTCTTGGCATGTTGCTCTCTTTTGCCCTCCATTCGTGCTTCTTCAAATTCTACAGGACTGCTGGTCACAGCTGACCTCCAGCTGGAGCGCTCAAGGGCCAGGGCTTCCCAGTTCTCAGTGTTTATGCCAGAGTTTTTAAGTTTGGTTTTGAGCCCATCTTTAAATCTCTATTAATAATAAGTCTAACTACAATTGTATTATTAATAATAACAATAAATGTGTATTTAGACTTGGGTCTCATCTCCAAAATAATTCTCTATATGCAAATGTTTCACAATAAGGGGTATTATTTATTATTATTATCATTGTTATTATTATATTTTATTTATTATTTATTATCCGCCTCTCCTAATGACTCTAGGTGGGGTATAACAAAGTCAGAAACATAAGAGCATAAATATATACAATAAATTACACTATATTTATATATATATAAACATTCGCTACACAGAAATACAGAATTGACATGATATCAATTGTTATACCTCACTTCTCATAATGGCTTGAGACAAGGTATAACAAGGTCAGAAACTATTTATTTATTTATTTATTTATTTACAGCATTTATATTCCGCCCTTCTCACCCCGCAGGGGACTCAGGGCGGATTACAGTGTACACATATATGGCAAACTTTCAATGCCAATTTTGACTTACAACATATACAGACATACACAGAGGCTATTTTAACTTTTTCCAGCCGCCAGGGGAGCTGTCGCTTTCATCGTCCATCTGCAACACTGATGAAGTACTTCCACATTCCCCGCATGCTTTGCTGGAGTCTTTTTTATGGCCTCGTAAATTAGTTAATTTAGCCTCCCCACACTTTAAGGTGGTACCTAATTTTCCTACTTAACAGATGCAACTGTCTTTCAGGTTGCAAAGGTAGACAACAGGCTACACAGTTGGTTGGAAACCCACTCCAACCCGGGCTGGCTTCGAACTCATGACCTTTTGGTCAGAGTGATCTTAATGCAGCTGACACTCCGCCAGCTGCGCCACAATCCCGGTGAACATGTAAAATATATACATTACATAAAAATTACCAATTGCACATGGAACCTTCAGAAAGCAAAAGTATAAATCAGGCATGGGCAAACTTGGGTCATCCAGGATGTTTTGGACTCCAACTCCCACCATTCCTGACAGCCTCAGGCCCCTTCCTTTTCCCCCTCAGCTGCTAGGAGTTTTGGACTCCAACTCCCACCATTCCTGACAGCCTCAGGCCTCTTTTCCCTCAACCACTAGGAGTTTTGGACTCCAACTCCCACCATTCCTCACAGCCTAAGGCCCCTTCCTTTTCCCTCCGCCACAAGGAGTTTTGGACTCCAACTCCCACCATTCCTGACAGCGTCAGGTCCCTTCCTTTTCCCCCTCAGCTGCTAGTTTTGGACTCCAACTCCCACCATTCCTGACAGCCTCAGCCCCCTTCCTTTTCCCTCAGCCACTAGGAGTTTTGGACTCCAACTCCCACCATTCCTGACAGCCTCAGGCCTCTTTTCCCTCAACCACTAGGAGTTTTGGACTCCAACTCCCACCATTCCTCACAGCCTAAGGCCCCTTCCTTTTCCCTCCGCCACAAGGAGTTTTGGACTCCAACTCCCACCATTCCTGACAGCCTCAGGTCCCTTCCTTTTCCCCCTCAGCTGCTAGTTTTGGACTCCAACTCCCACCATTCCTGACAGCCTCAGCCCCCTTCCTTTTCCCTCAGCCACTAGGAGTTTTGGACTCCAACTCCCACCATTCCTGACAGCCTCAGCCCCCTTCCTTTTCCCTCAGCCTCTAGGAGTTTTGGACTCCAACTCCCACCATTCCTGACAGCCTCAGCCCCCTTCCTTTTCCCTCAGCCACTAGGAGTTTTGGACTCCAACTCCCACCATTCCTGACAGCCTCAGCCCCCTTCCTTTTCCCTCAGCCTCTAGGAGTTTTGGACTCCAACTCCCACCATTCCTGACAGCCTCAGCCCCCTTCCTTTTCCCTCAGCCACTAGGAGTTTTGGACTCCAACTCCCACCATTCCTGACAGCCTCAGGCCCCTTCCTTTAGGACTCAGGCCCCTTCCTTTCGACTCCAACTCCCCCCATTCCTGACAGCCTCAGCCCCCTTCCTTTTCCCTCAGCCACTAGGAGTTTTGGACTCCAACTCCCACCATTCCTGACAGCCTCAGCCCCCTTCCTTTTCCCTCAGCCTCTAGGAGTTTTGGACTCCAACTCCCACCATTCCTGACAGCCTCAGCCCCCTTCCTTTTCCCTCAGCCACTAGGAGTTTTGGACTCCAACTCCCACCATTCCTGACAGCCTCAGCCCCCTTCCTTTTCCCTCAGCCTCTAGGAGTTTTGGACTCCAACTCCCACCATTCCTGACAGCCTCAGCCCCCTTCCTTTTCCCTCCCAAAACACGTGGCTGAGGGGGAAAAGGAAAGGGCCTGAGGCTGTCAGGAATGGTGGGAGTTGGAGTCCAAAACACCTGGAAGGCCCAGGTTTGCCCATGCCTGGTATAAATAATAATATACATAAATAATATAAATATATTATAAATATAAATATATTATAAATAATATAAATAATAATATCTGGACAATATTGGGGCATTTTGGAAGTAAGGATCAAGAGAAGGCGGCATGAAAACAAAAGGCGAGAGAGAAATCCTCAGGTGATGACGTCAGCCAAGGCTGTCCTCGAAAGAGGCGACTGCCGAGCCTCCCGTATCCCGGCGTGCCTTTCGCGCGGGGACACGTTACCTGAGTGGCTGGGAGGACTTTCTACCCGCCTGCTCTCTATGGTGAGCCGGGAAGTGTCATGGCGGCGGTTGAGGTGGCAGCCCGGTTGAGAGGCTTCGCCGCCGCTTGAGGAGCTCAGCCCGGGCATTACATGGCCGGCTTTCCCTCGAAAGGCTGACAGCTGACCAGCTCCTTCGCTGGAGGCCCTTCGGTTGAAGGAGGGGCACGGAGCAGGCGGGAAAGCGGCGGTGGGAGGCCGGGAGAGCGCTGTGGTGGCTGCCTCGGCCCTCAGCGCCACTCTGCCTGCCTGCCTGGCTCTCTTTCTCTGTCTCTTGTCTGTCTCTGCCTCTGAGTCCTGAGGGATGGCGTCGTGGCTGGGCGGCCTGGGCGCGGGGCTAAGCCAGTCCCTGGTGGGGCAAGTGGGCGGCAGCCTCTCTACCCTCACCGGGCAGATCTCCAGCTTCACCAAGGACATGCTGCTGGAAGGCGCTGCGGAGGAGGCAGCAGGTGAGAGGGGAAAGAGGGAAAGGCAGGCGAGGGGGGGGGGAGGAGAAGGGCTGATGTTAAAAGTTAAAAGTGCTGATGTGACGGGTGGAATATGAGGCTTATGGACAAGTGCAGTGTGCGGTGTGCGTCGGTCTTAGCTTTAAAAGTGCTTATGGGACTTGGTATTGGAGGTTTCCTATTCGGGAAGGCACATCGGAACAGCCAGGTCTTCAAGTTCTTTCTGAAGACTGCCAATGTAGGGGCCTGTCTAAGATTTTTGGGGAGGGTGTTCCAGAGTCGGGGGGCCACCACAGAAAAGGCCCTGTCTCGTGTCCCCACCAAACGCGCTTGCGACGCAGGTGGGATCACGAGCAGGGCCTCTCCAGATGAAGAGAGCGCGTGGGTTCGTAGACGGAGATGCGGTCACGCAGGTAGGCTGGTCCCAAACCGTTCAGGGCTTTGTAGGTAAGCACCTGCACCTTAAATTGGGCTCGGAAGATAAATGGCAGCCAGTGGAGCTCCTTAAACAGAAGGGTTGAGTTGTTTGTTCTGCTCCACAGCCGCACAAAGTGGAGGTTTCCTCTAGGTCAGTGGTTCTCCATATTTGGGTCCCCAGGTGTTTTGGCCTGCAACTTCCAGAAATCCCAGACAGTTTACCAGCTGTTAGGGTTTCTGGGAGTTGAAAGCCTATGCTGTCGTGCCTGGGGGCTATTATTCTCAATAAAGGAGGGATGGACTTGGCAGTTTCCCCCAGGGGATTGCTTCTTGCCCTCCTGTAGGAAACTGGAACTTTCAAGAACCCAAAATGCTGTAAATAACTCAAAATAAGTTTTATTTATCACAAAGCCATTTCTTTAAAGCAATGAGCTGGTGAAGGAAAATATACGTTACAATCTTAATTAGTCCTGGGTCCAAGGGGTTTGAAGCTGAGAAGCCTCACCAAGTTTCCTCTTTCCTCAATGGCTGTGAATGCCGGAGCAAACCATAACCCCAGTTCAGATGGCCTATGTTTTGAAAACTCAGGATCTTCCTTTGGTGCCAAAAGGACCGGTTTGAAGGCGCTTGGGTCTCCTCAATGTTGTCCAGGACGATCTGGACATAAAGCATGAGCCCCAAGGGTAAAAAACCTCAGAGTTGATGCTAAGAGGTAACTTAAATCAGGGTCTTTTAGAGTCAAGTCTCTTACTCACGTCCATATAGTAGGAACTCTGATGGCAGAATGTGAAAGAAAAGGAAGTTCTCCCCTCCTGCAGGAAGGGGTGGAGCCAAACAGTACTGATTGACAGCTATAAGTAACCAATCCATACAACTATACATAAGCAGGGTAAAAGGGGCAGGATTAAGCACGATACAACAGCTTAAATCTTGCAACTAACAGTTTTACACATAGGTGGCGCCACTTGCGCCGTCACAAGGCCAGAACATCTGGGGACCCACAGGTTGAGAACCACCGTTCTAGGAAGTGCCATTTAGCTAGGTTGTCTTTTAATCTGCTGACTCCACTCCTGAGTCTGTTCAGGAACTTCCAAGTTGCCCATTCTTGGCTTGGGTTGTTGTAGTTTTTTTCAGGCTATATGGCCATGTTCTAGAGGCATTATCTCCTGATGTTTCGCCTGCATCTATGGCAAAGCATCCTCACTACCTCTAAGGATGCTTGCCATAGATGCAGGCGAAACGTCAGGAGAGAATGCCTCTAGAACATGTCCATATAGCCCAAAAAAACCTACAACAACCCAGTGATTCCGGCCATAAAAGCCTTCCACAATACATAATAATAATAATAATAATAATAATAATAATGATAATAATAAACCTTTATTTATACCCCGCTACCATCTCCCGAAGGACTCGGTGCGGCTTACAAGAGGCCGAGCCCAAATACATCAATAAAAAAACAACAACAGCAATACAAACAATAAATAAACTCATAAACAAAACAATAAACAGTAACAATAACACCACGACACTTTAAAAACCTATGGCAGGGCCAAATGTAATAATTTAAAAAAATGTAAATGCTGGGCATGACAAGGTGACATATAACTAGGATAGGTATTTGGAGAGAGATGGAGCGAGCAGACAATCTTGGTTTGCCCCTGAATGAATATTTCATTTGTTTATTTATTTACTTCATTTGTTTACTGCTTTTCTCACCTGGGGATGGGAGGGTGGGAGGACGGGACTCAAAGCGATTTCGAACATTTATACCACAAAATTCAATGCCTCACATATATAAAAATAGTAATATCGTACATAATTAAATAATAAAAATACAATTATATTTAAACATTAAAACGTGGAGTTAAAAACATATTTATATAAGAGTTAAAATCACACAAGCCAACAATCCTAGTCCAGGGCTGTTCCAAATATCAATATCTAATACCATCATAAAGGGCCATCCAGTTGGAATTGCCTGGTTTTTCTGCCCACAGCGATTCTCTTGATGTTGCTGGAGGAATGTTAAAAGGGGTGGTGGTTCTCATGAAACTTTGCCTTTATTTAAGTCTACTGGGAGGAGTAGACTTAAGGGCAGCAGAGATAGAAGATGACCATATTCCAGATGGCAGACTTAAATCAGGATGTCAGGGCTCTCAGCAGGTCTCTTGGTGATTCAGAGGTCTCTCATTTATGATGTTGCCATAAGTTGATGTTGACCTGAAGACCATTAACTACAAATTTTGGGGGTGTCAAGGGGAGGAGAAGGATGACCAAAATATGCATATAAAGTTGAAACAAGATGGGGTCCAAAACTGGATCAGTTATTTCAAACCCTTGGGAAGGCGATGTTTTGAACCTGGGAGAGATTTATTGCATTTTTTAACTAACTGTATTGGGCTGTGATGTGGCTAATCTGGGTGTTAGTCTTCAATGTTCTGTTATTTTTTGGATTTCAACTTCTTAAATTATTCACCCTTGAGTATCCTGAAAAGGGCTGATAAGAATAAATTGAGCACCACAGTTACTCATGCCTGTTTTAGAGCATTCTCATTTTTAGTTGTGAGCTTTGTAAATTTCTTCCTTTATAGCATCATGCATTCATATATTTTAGCATTAAATATATATCTATATGGAACTACATCCCATTTATACTCAACAATATACATATCTGAGGAAAAAAGCATTGGATGGCAGTACTAAGTAATGCTCAGGTTCCACATTACTTTAAAATTCCCCATAGATAACTGCTTTCACTTTGCATTATGTGAGTTGATTTTCAAGCTTATTGTAATGTTGCCAACAAGTTTGGCACATAAATGTTGCACGGTAACATTGGCAGCAGGACTCCAACTACTAATAAACTAAATCTCTCTTTGGGCCTAAATGATATATATAGGTACTAACAGATCTTTTCTGTTGTGACGTGTACTTTCTCAGTTATTACAGAATGCTATTGTGGCAACGCTCACATCAGAAATTAGTTTTACAAATGGGAACATCAGTACACATTGAGACAGTGCTGCATGGAGAATATTTGTGCATTGTGTGGAGAAAAAAAATAAGATTATCTCATCTGAGAACATTTTTAATTGTGGACACGCAGAAGGCAAAGTTCAGTTGCTATGTTAAAAGTTTTCTGCAGTCACTGTGAAAATAAATTCAAGAGATTACATGTTCTTCAAACTAAGTACGATAACAAATACAATCTAAAATGACTCCCTGAATTGTGTAGAATATGCTAATTTTAAAAAGTTTTAGTGCATAGGTTGGAATTTAAAATATGTGGTGATTTTATCCAACATTGGATTTTGAGATCTTTAACTAAGTGGTGATAGCAATGGGCTTTTGTTCTAGTTTTCAAAGTCTTAACTTTCAAATGAATCTGAATGCTTTGGGCTTTGTTCTGACAGAAGTACTACATTGCCTAGTATTTAGATACAATGAGTATTATTTCACATAATGATAAGGTAAAATTCCAGCTTTGCCCTAGATTATTTTGAATAAGCAGCATACAGTTACATAAACTGATTTAATATCTTGTTTGCATGAGCAGATATAACAAAACAAACCAGAAAGTTTTCTGTGACATTGAAACTTAAACTTCTTGAGGATTGCTCTTGAATAACATGATTTCTAAACTGGTAACAAACCATGTTTTATGAATTGATCTGTTTGGGATCAATGAGTTATTCTATAAAATTTATTATTTGCTTTTAATTATGGCAAATATCAACAAAGTGGTTCTAATGACAATACTGCTTCCACCAGCAGAAATGAAAGGGAGCCCAACAATCATATAGTCCTCCATATACCTCCCTCCCTCCCAAAAACAACCTAGTCCAGAGGGCTAGGAATTTTTACAGAGTAATTTTTAAGGAATGACAAAGATGAGTAGAATAGAAGAAAGTGATGTACCATTAGTGTCAAATTAACAAACAAAAATAAAATCAAAAGTAAATACACAGCTTTCAGCGTATACCGCTTGTCCACAATTAAAAATGAATTATTGTCATTATTAGTCAAAGCAACTATTGTAATGAAATGGAAAATAGTCATGAATAATTGCTTGTGTGTAAGCCGCCTTGAGTCCTCTTCAGGGTAGAGAAAGGCAGGGAATAAATAGGGTAAATAAATAAATAATAGTGTTTTTGAGGTGAGTTAGGTTATGGTGGGCCGTATGTGTCTGTTCAGATGCAGTTAAATTGCAGCTGTCATCAACCATATCCTTCAATGCCAATGGCCAGAGATTAGGGCAGTGGCTGTCTGGTAACATTTGAAGGGCACAAGTAGCTCTGCCCAATTTAAAGCATTTCAATTTCCAAGAAAAGAAACTTAGTACCCTTGCATATGCATAGCCTATGGTTTGTGTAAAGGAAATTCAGTATTAGGTGGGCCAAACTTTCAGAGTTATGTTTGAAGAATCTGAGTAAAATATGCTCCCTTATATATTTGTTTTTCATTTTGAATCCCAAACGTGCATTCTGAAGATTATCTGTGGTGTTTTAAATATAAACAAGTGTAGGAATTCAATCTGAGAAGGCCATTTAAAATATTTGGATTTCTGGTCTTAACAAGTACTTGCCAAAGTTATGTCAATAGAATACAGTATTGTGAGAATTTCTTGTTTTGTTTACTTTCCCTTCACCCTTTTCAGATACTGCAGCAGGTTTTCCTGTATCCAATTCTGGTCTCCGAGATGTAGAGAACATTATTGCAACACTGAGATCGGAGGTAAGACAGTATGCTGGAAAAATGAGGCTTGTTGAAAAAAACAAGAAAAAACCCAGTTTTAAGCAGAAGTAGATGTTGATCAGTCAGGCCGGCATTCATTCAGTGTGTCTCCATGGCAGCAGTCTAGACTGGATAACCTTTGTGGTCTCTTCCAAATTTGTTATTATTTTTCCATAAGTTTGGCAGCTTTGGTATATTTCCAATACAGCGTATGCTGCATTGATTTGGAGAGTTCGGTTTTTGAAATATTCAGCTATTTTTCTTTCCATAGAATGAGAGGTTGAAGACAGTTTGTAGTGACCTGGAAGAAAAACATGAAGCAGCAGAACTTCAAATAAAGCAGCAGTCTATAGAATACCGCAACCAACTTCAGCAGAAAGAGGTACAAAATGATATAAAGAACACTTAACAAAATCACCATGTCTTGGTCTTCTATTACATTTTTCATTTATGTCATAAAATACAATTTACAGTTCAAGTGCCTGGAACCTAGTTACCACCACCTGGCCCCCTCGTTACATGTAATCTGACCCACAGAGCAATTGGTGAGTGTATGGGTGAAGTAATCTGACATCCTGCCCTCCCCCACCCCTTTTGTAGAACATCAAAACCAAATTGCACATTTGATTTGTTGAAAGGAGCATTGAATTCTTCTAGCAAGTGCATGTGTGCATGTGCACATATGCTTTCAAGTCACCTGTCTACTAGCAAGTATTAAGAAATGTAATCCAATTCTAAGGTGTTGCTAAAATGTGATAGTTTTTAGAGATTATTTGTCCCTCCTTACTAAACTTTCAATGTCTTTTTCCCCATCTATATAGGTGGAAATCAGCCATCTTAAAGCAAGGCAGAATGCACTACAAGAGCAACTGCAGAAGGTACAGTCAGCTGCTCAGTCATCTCAGTTAAAAGCAGCTGTCTCTTCATTCACCAGTACATCAGCTTCCTTTGTTCCTATGGTTAGACATAGTCCTTCCAGTTTTCAAGGAGATGACATGGATTTTGGAGATGTAATCTGGTCCCAGCAAGAAATAAACAGACTGTCCAATGAAGTTTCAAGGCTGGAATCTGAAGTTGACCATTGGAGACAAATTGCACAGGTTGGTCACTTTTATCTGTAGATGATATGTTTATACATGTATAATGTATCTGTTTATGATGCACCTGTAAAGAACATTTATAATAAGCAAATCCATGTTTCTACTAGTATATTGAATTTTATCAGGAACAAATAAGTCCTAATTTTAAATTTGAATACAGTATAGAGATGTACCATATTTCTTAGATTCTAATATGCATTTTTTCCTACATATAAAAACAGCTCTAAAATAGTGTGCATCTTAGAATGGCAAGTGATTTTTATATATACATTCATACATGTGTGCGTGTAGCTTTTTATGTTGGTGGTACTGAAATTAGTGTGCATCTTACAATTGATGACATTTTAGAATCAAAGAAATCAAAGAACAAGCCCTATGAAGAGCGGCTTAAAGAGCTGGACATGTTTAGCCTGAAGAAGAGAAGGCTGAGAGGAGACATGATAGCCATGTATCAATATGTGAGAGGAAGTCACAGGGATGAGGGAGCAAACTTGTTTTCTGCTTCCCTGGAGACTAGGACACGGAACAATGGCTTCAAACTACAAGAAAGGAGATTCCATCTGAACATGAGGAAGAACTTCCTAACTGTGAGAGCTGTTCAGCAGTGGAACTCTCTGCCCCGGAGTGTGGTGGAGGCTCCTTTGGAGGCTTTTAAACAGAGGCTGGATGACTATCTGTCAGGGGTGCTTTGAATGCAATATTCCTGCTTCTTGGTAGGGGATTGGACTGGATGGCCCATGAGGTCTCTTCCAACTCTATGATTCTATGATTCTATGAAATGCAGTATTATTATAGCTGCCTGAGTATCGAAATTTACTGATAACTCCCTTCTTCATTTTTGAACCAGATAATTCTTATCAATGTATTGTCGAAGGCTTTCATGGCCGGAATCACTGGGTTGCTGTAAGTTTATCATGTTGTATGGCCATGTTCCAGAAGCATTCTATCCTGCTGTTTCTCCTGCATCCCTGGCAGGCATCCTCAGAGGTTGTGAGGTCTCAGGAGATAATGCTTCTGAAACATAGCCGTACAGCCCGAAAAACTTACAACAACCCTTATCAGTGTAGTTTGCAAAAGAAGTTGTACAGTTACATCTCACTATCTCACTATCTTTCAAACCTGGGTTGAGGCCTCTGGAGGAACTAAGCATTTTAACCCAGGCCCCCAGTTCTCTGTAAAGTATAAGCTTGTTTCAGGTGTTGTGGTTTTGAATTGGTGGCACATCAACACAGTAGACATTGAAACGTGTATTTATTTATCGTGTCATAAGCAAATTGAGGGGACAGTTGTAATGCATTTTAAAACACAAACAAAGTTAAAAACTTGGCATTATACTGAATGTCATTTGACTAGTAGTTGGCCACTTGGAGTTCCTCTAGTATTGTTATAAGAAAATCCTCCATTGTGCATGTGGCAGGGCTCAGAGTGCATTGTAATAGGTTGTCTGTGGTTTACTCTTCTCCACACTCACATGTCATGGACTCCACTTTGTAGTCCTATTTCTTAAGGTTGGCTCTGCATCTCGTGGTGCCAGAGCGCAGTCTGTTCAGTGCCTTCCAAATTGCCCAGTCTTCTGTGTTCCCAGAAGGGATTCTCTCATTCAGTATCAGCCATGGATTGAGCCTGCAACTTCGGACTCTCGCTTGCTGAGGTGTTCCTGTGAGTGCCACTGTAGATCTTAGAAAGCTATTTCTTGATTTAAGGCATTGGCGGGCTGGCTGATATTCGAACAGGAGATGGGCCTTTCATTATTGGCTTCTACCTCCCGGCGGATGTCAGGTGGTACAGTAATGGCTAAACAGTATAAATGTATAGTTGTTTTTTGTACTGCTGCATGACTTTCAAAGTCATGTTGTGGCTACACATAAATTTTGCTCTTTTGTTTAGTTTTCCAAGCCAGTGGGGGCAAATAATGTAGATCAGAGTGAAATCTGCAAGCTGCAAAATATTATCAAGGTAAGGCCACTCTTTCAATAAATCTGCTATTTCTGTGCATTTGCTATATCTTTTCTCACCTCCAATATATAACTCATTTGTGTTCAGTTCTTCTAAGGTGAAACAGTTTGATTTCACATAAAGATCAATATAAATCTTGTTAACTTCATAATACATTTTCCAAATTAATTATAAGTGATTTTGTGTATTTTAAAAGGTGTAACTTGCCTACGTGTTTTGGTCATGATCTCATATACAGTATTGATGGACATCAGAAGTTCTGATCTTTACATAAAATGCCCATGGATTTTCAAGCCATAAAGAGAAAATAAAGTTTCTGGGTTGGCAGGTGTAGAATGTGAAAAAAATATGCCATATTGGCAGTCTGCAGATTCCAAGCCATTTTATTCCTTTAGGAACATAAACTCTGTTATCTCTAACTTGGTTTGGTATAAAATTATATGTTGAGAATTCCTCATCTGCAAATCCAAAATACTCCAGAATCTGAAAGTGCCCACATGGGTGGCAATTTCAGAGATACCTTTACTTTCTAATAGTTCAGTGTAGACAAACTTTTTTCATGCATAGAATTATTATAATACAAAATTATCTTCAGATTATACAGTATGTATAAGGTATTTATAAAACATAAATGAAATTCATATTTAGATTGGGTCCCATCTCCAGGATATATCACTTTGTACATATATGCAAATATAGGCATTCCAAAGTATGAAAACTCTGAAAACCAAAACACTTGTGGTCTCAAGTATTTTGGATAAGAAATACTCGACCTATATTTGTTTGTTATGTTAGAAGCACAGTTTATTCAGAAAACAATAATAGTGAACTTACTTTTTAAGATTTTATTTTTTCTTCTGAGTGAATCTATAATTGCAAAGTCCTGAATGCTAAGAAGCCTCTTTGGTTTTGCTAGCTTATAATGATCAAACAAAAGAAACCCTTTACCTACAAAGGTACCATCACACTTACTAAAACAATATTTTGTCTCCATTGGTGCATGGTGTAGTGTTCTCAGTGTTGAACTACAACTCTTGAGGACAAGGGATCTAATTCCTGTTCAGGCAGGAATATCTGTTGGCAAGTCATTTTCTCTCAGTGTTAGGAAGGCAATAGCAACCCCCTCCCCTCAACCCCCATGACAAATCTTACTGTGAGAACCCATTTGATAGGATTACCTTGGTGTTTCCATAAGCCAAAATGACTGAAGGCACACAACACAGACATAAAGCATTGAAACTTGGGCCCCTTCTACACAGCTGAATAAAATCCCACATTATCTGCTTTGAATATATAGCAGTGTGGACTCAGATAACCCAATTCAAAGCAGACATTGTGAGATTTTCTGTCTTGATATTCTGGGTTATATGGAAGTGTGGAAGGGCCCTTGGAGAGTTTCAAGAATTACAACCAAGAATTACAGTGTTCTTCTACATCTGTGATTGTCAAGGTATCTGCTGTAAGGAGTTACATTCCTACCCCACCCCCTAATTTGGCAAGAAGACATAACTGATTATGCACCAGGACCAATCTCCATACCACAGGAGAAAAAAAATCTGTGTCCTTCCCCTCCATCCCCTGGATACCTTCACATTTTTGTCCTTAATACAGATAAATTTGGTTGTGCTATTTGTATAGGATTTTTTGAGTTCTTCGTGTGTCTGTAGAATGAAGCAGCAGAGTGTATTTTCACTGACATTTGTTTGTGATAGTTTTTCTTTAAAATCATATGTAATATTTGATTGGATTGAGTAATGCAGGCTTGTCTTCAATTTTCTTTCATTACAAATTTTAGGAGCTAAAACAGAAGTTGAGTCAAGAAATTGATGAGCACCAGCATGAGCTTTCAGTATTGCAGGATGCTCACCGGCAAAAATTAGGAGATATAAGCCGGCGTCATAGAGAAGAACTGGGTGAATATGAGGAAAGAATTGAAGAACTTGAAGATCAGATACAAAGAGGTATTGATTATTTTTTCTTCATTGGGAGTTTCAAAGACCCTAACATCACACATTTCAAGTATATCTTTATACCTGAAATGTCACTGCATTTTCCTTATTTTCTCCATAATATCTACAAATTGTACTAAAGCAAGAATCACATGGTCCTCCAGATTTTGTTGGACTGTAAATGCCAGCATCTTCAGCCAGTATAGCTAATAATGAAGGATTGCTAGAAGATGCAGTCCTGCCATATCTGGAGATCTTTATGATTCCCATCTTGGTCTAGATCTTCCATCATCCAAAATTAAAAAAGAACATTTTACAGAATAAAGCTGAATAAACTATATCATTTTCCTGTCATGTGCCTCACACCCCATTCTGTCCTAATATACTTTGAAAGATAACACTTAGTTTTCACAAGAATTACAAATAAGCAGCCTTAAAATTTCTTCCCCAAGTGGAAAATAGAAATTTTCTTTCTATTTATGTTTTGCTAAGTGCTTGTGTTTTTCCCCTTAGCCTTTTGAGTGTGACTTTTAAAACATTTTTAGTACTTAATTGTTTTCCAGCTTGATTAATCAAAAAATGTTATACCAGAAATTCATCATCACCAGACAGAGTGGTCTTTATTTTAAGATGATGAGAGCTGGGAAATGCTGATGTACAGTAGAGTCTCGTTGAACCGACCTTCACTTATCCAACATTCCGTCTTATCAGACGCTCTCAAATCCTTCCGCGCAACCTCCCATTAGATCAAAGATAGGGCAATGCGACCTTCAGCACCTTGGCAACACCAGCAAACAATCTTGGTTGCCTGGCAACAGTGTTCTTGGGGCGTTGGAGCGCGTGCATGTGGCATTGGAGGAAGAGGGACAAGGAGAGAGGCACGAGACAGAGGGAGGGAGGCCAAAGCAGTGGGCAGCGCGCACCACCTCTTCCCTGAGGGACAGCGACTCCACAGTTCTGAAGGGCGGGGCTTGGGGTTCCTCCAGGCCAGGAGAGAAAAGGTAGAAAATGCCCCCACTTTCTTAATTATTATCTGACATTTTCGGCTATCCGACGTTCTGCCGGCCTGTTTATGTTGGATAAGTAAGACTACTGTAGTAGTATTTCCAACTTCCCAAGTCTGATCAGTGTCAGCTTTTCTCAAGCACAGGGAGCACACTGTCTGCCTACCAGGGTATTGGTAGTAAATCCAATTCCTGCTTTAGTTTTCTTATAGCTACATTATCTAACATGATATTTGTCTGCTAGTAAGAGCTACAAAAGTTCCTAAACCTTTTGTGAGGTATTCTAATGAGAGGATTGTCATAGTTTAACTGATATTAGTCAGTGGCCAGCAGTTTTGACATTGTAATCATGCACATGCTTAAAACATTTTGTTGGCATTCAGAACAGCATATTGGAGGAGGTTGAGAAAGATAGACCCATTTTATTCTCATAATCATGTATAAGATTGGCCTGGGTATAGTGGCTGAAATAGGTTACCTAATAAATTATGTGATCAGTTTGAATTTTTTTGTCAAGATCTCCCCATTCAAAGTCTAAACTTTTTTGATGGGAGGGGAGTGATTTCTTCTGAATAGCTTCAAACCAAGCTTTCTCAATGTGGTAGTCCTCTAGTATTTTGGCTATTTTTCCCATCATCTCCAGCTGGCATAACTTGCTACTGAGGAAAATTGTCATCTGGATCCCGTGCATTTGGAAAGTTGCCAGTGCAAAAGAACCTGTCCTAAATAAAAGGCTCCAAGGATCCAGTGAATTAGTCTCAACCTGTTTTTCACAGCCGTCTAGTGGTACTCCTGTTTTACAGCTTTAGCAGGTTACTTCATAGAACATTATATTATGATGATTAATCATAATATAGTATAAAATGAGTTGTCCTTTATGCACTGGTAAATTAATGTGCTTCATAGTTGTATGAAATAGAACTATACTAATTGGTTAATCTTGTGGGTAACAGGTTAGGAAGGCAATTTCACCCTCTCCTTTGTGGTTTCCTTTGCCCACTCATACTCCCAAAATGTTCTCTGGTTGTTTCAAAGGCTTTCCAACACAGAGTAGTGGCCCTGCAGACTGTAAGGGGGAGGGAGACGGAGCCAGCCTCTCTCCTCCTTCTAGTGGGAAGATTCCTGTGGATCACAGTTTCTTCCACCAACAAAAAGAGCCCATCTTTTTGTGGAGGGTCAGTTCTTAATCCAATTACTTACACTTTTGAGTAAGAACATCAAGAGTACTGTCATATCTCTTGTGATTAATTATAATTATATCTGTATCTGCCTCAGTGAGCTCAGAATGGTATTTGTGGCTTTCCTCTTTCTCATTTAGTCCTCACAGCAACTCAAGGGAATAACTGCTTTCATGCACAATGAAGCTAAGCCTTTGATCAAATCTGGAATTTATTTCAAAGTCTCAGTATAATCTCAGCTCAGCTTCTTCTCTTTGACCCCGACAGTAGGATTTGTGAGAACAAGGACTAGTCCAGGGCTTCAACATCAGTTCAGTTTGGTTAGATCTACCTTAGTGGATTCAAGGGGAGGCATACACCGACATACATGAAAAAGAATTATTTGTGCATTGCTGTCTCTATTGTCTGCAGGCTGAAAATGGCTTCAAGAGGGAAGTCCAACTTTGTGGCAATGACAGGATAAAATTTCTACACTTGTTTACATGCAGTTCTTACATCCAGTGTATTTTACATGATGTCGCGGACTGGGGGAGGATTGTTTCTAGGTTGTTGACTTCTCCCTTCCCATTCAGAAGGTTGCTTATAGCCAAGGATTTACATGTTATTAGCAGCTCCTCACTCAAGTAATGATAACCAGAAATGATCATTCATTATCATTAAAAGATACCTTTAGATTTCGTTAAATTCAGATCCACAAACAACAAATAAAAGCCCTGATGGTATAGTTCAGCAGTATTAATTTGAATTATTTAGTTTTATGGTCCATTTCATCACCAAAATTGCTTTTAAATTCTCTCAGACTCTGGTTCTCTGACAGTTACCAAGAAAACACTATTTTTTTCTTCTTTACAGTTGGTGGAGCTGTTGAAACATCTTCTGAGCACGATGTACCACACAGTCCATCTGACTCTACAGCACTACACTTGAAGGACCTACAAGATAAAGTAAAAAGTTTAAGTCAGCAATTGTCTTCAACAGAAGAAGAGAACAATAGTCTCTTGAAAGAACTTGAATTGGTAAAAATGGGGAAAAGTCAACTAGCACAGGAATATGAAAGACTAAAATCTGAATTCAATAAGCTCCAAGCATCTATTACCAAAGAACAGGCTGCTTTGAAAAAGCACGAGGCAGTGTCTTATAATTCAGCAGACACACTTCAGGCAGAAGTGCTCCGACTACAACAAGCCCTCCTTGGTATGAAGACAGAGGGAATTCCATATTTTTCTATATCTCTTTTCAATATGTAAAGACTAGAGAGATGTAAAAATTGCAGAAATTCTGCAGAGGGGAAATTTTCTGGGGGTTTTTTCCCATAAAAAGAATTGAACAGTGCAATATTAAACACACCCTTTTTACAGAGTTAATGCCAATGTGTTTCTTCAAGTATTGGGGGACTACAAGGTCCTAGAACAGGGGTCCTCAAACTATGGCCCGGGGGCCAAATACGGCCCTCCAAGGTCATTTACTCAGCCCTTGTTCAGGGTCAACCTAAGTCTGAAACGACTTGAAAGCACACAACAACAAAAACAACAACAACCTATCTCATCAGCCAAAAGCAGACCCACACTTCCCACTGAAATACTAATTGGTTTATATTTGTTAGAATTGTTCTTCATTTTAATTATTGTATTGTTTTTATGTGTTTTTTTGCACTACAAATAAGATATGTGCAGTGTGCATAGGAACTCATTTATGCTTTTTTCAAATTATAATCCAGCCCTCCAATAGTTTGAGGGACTGTGACCTGGTACTCTGTTTAAAAAGTTTGAGGGCCCCTGTCCTAGACTATAAGGAGCACCAAAGTTATCAGGAAATTTGGTTTGCCCATTTGAGGAACAGGCCATCACACCCCCCCCCCCAACACACACAAACTAATAATAATAATAATAATATTTATTTATATATCCCATCATTATCTCTCAAACTCAGGGACGTTTAAAAGGCACTACAAGTGTAGTATATAAAATAAACTGTACGTKAGTATAAAAACATTATCACATAAAGTTATAAAAACAACCACTATTAACACATAAAATAAAATAAAAACACAGTTTTAAACACAGACCATCTTTAATTACAACTAGCTGCCTTCAGATCACAACTAAAGTACCAAAGTGTCAAACTCATATGGGCCCATTTCAGCCTACTCGAGGCCAAAATTCATGTTTTTAGGTTGGATCGGAAGGACTAAAGGGTAGGGGCTAACCTAATCTCTTTTGGGAGGGTATTCCAGAGCCGGAGAGCCATTACAGAGAAGGCCCCATCTCTCTTCCCCACCAACCATACTAGAGACGGTGGTGGAACTGAGAGAAGGGCCTCCCCTGCCGATCTCAAAGTCCCCACCAGTCATAGAAAGAGATGTGGTCTCCAAGATAGGTTGGAACCAAAACATATAGGGCTTTGTAGGTAATAACCTGCACCTTGAATTGAGCCCAGAAAATTGTCAGAAGCCAGTGGAGCTGCTTGAGTAAGGGCATAGTATGTTCCCTATAGCTAGGTCCAGTTAGTAATCTGGCAGCCAACCTTTATACTAACTGCAGTTTCCAAACCATCTTCAAAAACAGCCCCACATAAAGTGCATTACAGTAGTCCATTTTGGATATAACTAAGGCATGGACCACTGTGGTCAAGTCAGGCTTTTCAAGATACGATCGCAGCTGGCGCACAAGTTTTAACTGCGAACAACCCTCTATAAAAGCAGAAAAAGAAATATGAATAAAAGAGATAAAAAATATTTTGTCTGTACTAGTTTTCTATAGTATCAGGCAGCAATAATGCACTCATTTCCATAAAATGATTTGAGAGAAACAACCAAGACCATAGATTGTAGTGATTTAATACTATATCTTACGTAAAAGTCTTCCACTTACATCAATTTTAGAAATGGATCAAGTTTCGTAAATACATGAAAAGCTTTATTTTATTGATCATTCTAATAGAAAATATATTTTCTTCCCAAAAAAGACCTGTAGGGGCAAGAGGGGGAGGGTTCTTTCCCTTTCTCCAGATTATTCCACTTTTTTCAGATCTTTACATCTATCGGAATGGCAATAGGAAATTTTATCTTCCAATAATTTCCAGTCAGTTTTCCATAATATTCAAAATTAAGAAGCTACCACCTGAAGTGGGAAGATAGGAATATCCCCGGAATGTTTCTCTGTTTGCTTTTATGAAAGTTTTTTTTAAATGATTTGCTACTCAATGTTTTCTTAAAAGCCACTGTTTTGCTACCACTTCTCTCATGTCAATTAGATTCCTAGATCACATTTGAGTCACTTCTGCATAAATGAGATCCATTCAAGTGATCAAAAATAAATGCATTACTTTTTAGTATCACTAGTATTTAAAGTGGTTTTTAATATTATCTTTTTCTTTACTTGAAATGACTGTATGGTAAAGAGTGCAGCCTTTCATGCTGCCTTTTTTTCTTGCCTTTGTGATTTAAAATGACCCTCTTAATATCAGATTCTGTCTTTATTTTCTCCTAAGAGAAATAGCTTTTTCATCTATTGTTTTTACAGATGCAGAAAATGAAATAACACGACTGAAAAAGTCAGAACAGGTAAAGAGATTGTTAATGTTTAAGAAAGATGAATATTCTTGAAATGGAAGTATTTCCCAGACCATGATTTACAACTTTTAAAATTTATTTTGTGTTAAAAGCATTGCATAAATAAGTATAAAACTGATAAAATAGAGAGAGAACAAGCAACTAAATAATTTTATATCAAAAACGGGCAACAGCAACCCCATTGTCTGTAGCTTTAAACAATGATCCCTCTGTGCATGAGGCAGGGCATTGAGGACAGGCACAGAGATGCGGAGTTATTTGTTCTGCTCCACAATCACACAAGGTGGATTATTTTAGATAGTGCCATTTTGCCAGGTTGTCTTTTGATCTGCCCACTCCTGAGTCTGTTCAGGGACTTCCAAGTTGCCCATTCTTGGTTTGCCCTTAGAAGCAGACCCTTGTGTGGAGCCAACCATTTGGGATTTTCTGGTTTAGCTGCCCAGAGGGATACCCTTGCTATTGCTGGTGGAACGTTAAGAGGAGTGGTCGTTCTCATTAAGCTTTTTCCTTGATTTGAGTCTACTGGGAGGAGACCGATAGCCATGCAGTAGATTTACAACTTAAGATGGTGATATATTGTATTACCTTCTGCCTAGAATTTGTCACATGAGGGCCGGTCTTGGAACAAGCCAAATAATTAAAATGGGAAATTAGTTGGCTGCACCAGATTTTTTCCCCCATAGCATTTCCAATTTCCTTGTGTCACTATGAGACTCCAGAAATCAGAGATCCTCCAGATTCCAAAAATCAGTGCATTACACCAATGAAAAGGCTTACATGGCAGATGTAAATTGTCCTCTCTCACCTGGTTGCTGCTCTGTGGACCAACATTTCAGTAATCAGCTGTTGTTTCTTCTCTCATCACTGTCAATATGTTAAAATACACTCTCAGAAGAAGAAGCCTAGAAGGGATGATTATGTGTCTGTTGCAGAAAAAACAAGAGTCCTATTGCATTTTAAAGACAAATTATAATGACATAAGCTTTTATAACATTTTAGTTCTCAGAAAGAATCAATTTCATATTTATGGCCTTTTTAAAATGGTAGCACAGTATTTATGACTATACCCGGATTGATTTCATCCTAGTCTTTTTTTTCTGTCTCAATTAAGGAAGGATTCCAGAAAGAAGTGGCAACTTTACAATCTAATGCTAGTACATGTGAATCCAGTGAAGAACAGAACATGGTGTTAAATCAGTTAAGACAAGACTTGGAAAGAAGGGAACAGGAACTTAATGAAAGCATTGCTGAAAACAAAACTCTTATAGGAGAACTAGAAGAACTGGACAAGCAGAATCAAGAAGCTACACAGGTCATATATTTAATTAACTAAATGGGAAGGAAATAACATGTTTTGATGTTTCAAAACATTGAGTTGATATCCTGTTCAGGAGTTATAGTAAGCTGAACAAAAATATAATAACAGCTGGGGATTCATGTTTATGTTCATGAATAAGCAATCATGACCTCAAATACTTACCTTAGCAGCCTGGTAGAGCCGCAACTAAGGGTTTCCGATGCAGTTGTGATCAAAATATTGGCAAATGACATCTGCACCCCAGGCCTGTTTGCAGAATGTTATGGGCTAATCAGTCGTAGTAGGACTCCAAGGTTCTCAAGAGTGTAGGGAGCCATGCAGATAGCTCAATTTTGCTGTGGTGTTTTTAGTTTCTAGTTTTGCTGGTAGTATCAGCACATAGCTCCAATAAGAGAAAGTCATAGGTTGCTGATTACATACGTGTACCTGATTAAAACATTATTAGCGAAGGGTATATCAGCAACCTTTTAGTGAGTTCAGTTCTGATGTCATAGTAAGGGTAAAGGTTTCCCCTGACATTAAGTCTAGTTGAATCCGACTCTGGTAGGTGGTGATCATCTTCATTTCTAAGCCGAAGACCCGGCATTGTCCATAGACATTTCCAAGGTCATGTGGCCAGCATGACTGCATGGTTCAGCAACTCAGTGATGTAACCCGCTATGCCACCAGGGGGACCTTTTGATTGCATACCAACCAGAATTATTGTTTGAATCCATTTTCATTTGTACTGTGTACATATAATTCCTTCAGTAAAACATCTGCATCACAATAGAAATTAAAGCTTGACCAAAGAAGACAGGCAATCATCTTAAACACTTCTTATTACAAAGTATTTCAAGACTTTAATAGAGGGGTGGGGTAATTCATGGCCTACATGAACCCTCTTCACCAATGTCTCCTCCATATAACACTGAATTTTGATGGGAGGAAAAAACACCACATTTTGCAATATATATATGGAGTGCAGGACACCACAACAACAAAATTTACTAGTTTTCAGAGTTCTTATCCACCCTTCTCTTCAAAGGAGGACATGAGAACTTTTTTCTGTTGAGATGGCTAAATCTTCCTCTCTTATGAAGGTGATGTACACCAAACACCAATGCCTATTTATAACATTAATATTCTGGATGTTCAAAGTGAGGTTTATATTGTTAATTATCTAAAAGTAAAGGTTTCCCCTTGACATTAAGTCTAGATGAGTCCAACTTTGGGGTAGTGGTGCTCATCTCCATTTCTAAGCCGAAGAGCTGGCATTGTCCATAGACACCTCCTAGGTCATGTGGCCAGCATGACTTCATGGAGCACCGTTACTTTCCTGCCAGAGTGGTATCTATTGATCTACTCACATTTGCATGTTTTCGAACTCTGCTCCCTGGATTCAAGCCGGCAACCTTTCAATCAGCAAGTTCAGCAGCTCAGCAGTTTAACCCGCTGTGCCACTGCCCCCCCCCCATTTAATTATCTAATTATTGCTAAATAATCCTAAAATACCAGCAAGGAGGTGCAACCATTTCTTCTATATTACTTGATTTATACCCCACAACCCCCCCTAATCTGTCACTCAAGACATCTTACATAACAAAAAGAATTACCAGTAAAGAAAATATGTAGCTAGACATATACCAAAATGATTATAATAGTGCTAACCTTTTTCTAAAATTAAAACCACTTAAAACATTGACTTAAAAGGATGAATTAGCACTACATGCGTTAAAAATCCTTTGTCTTGTAAAGTTACCAGATGCCTGTTGGACTAAAAAGATCTTTAGGTACCAATTTATTATTTATTTATTTGGGGTTCTTCTACCCCGCCCTTCTCACCCCGAAGGGGACTCAGGGCGGCTTACAGAGGCAAAGGCGCAATTCGATGCCTGCATCATAAAACAATCATACACAAAATTACATCAATTCACAATTAATAACAGTTCATGCATTATAACCATAAAATCAATAAAATCAATAAAACCTATACAAACCCAATTTCTCCTCTTACATGGTCAGCGTTCGCTAACTCATAGATCTAGTTTTATGTTCCACTTCATCAATCCTGTTGGTCTTACTTGCTGATTGTCTAATTTAATTGCCAGAGTGCCCAAAGGCCTGGTCCCATAACCACGTCTTCACCCTCCTCCTAAAGGCGAGGAGGGATGATGATGCCCTGATTTCCCCCGGGAGTGAGTTCCACAGGTGAGGGGCCACCACTGAGAAAGCCCTGCTCCTCGTCCCCACCAGCCTCACTTGTGACAGTGCAAAGAGAGCAAAAAGGAAGCCAGTTTAGCCTCTTAAATTTATCTCTTAAATATTTTACGATATTATTTACATATTTATCATGTATAAGTTGGATTTCTGTATTGTTTTTATTGTTCTATACCGTTAATTTGTTTGTTTTTATTTTAGCATATGATTGTGTTAAAAGGACAGCTAGCCAAACAGAATGCTGAAGCTGCTAATACTATCAACGAACTAAAACTGAACATAGACTCTGAAAAAAAGAACTCATCCAAGCTAGAAGAAGAGAAACTAGAAATTATCAAAGAGCAAGAAAGCCAGAGAGAGAAATTGAATCAATGTACATTTGCACTTAATGATTTGCATATGACTAAGCAGCAACTAGAAACTAAAATAAAAGAGTTAAAAGAGCAGCTGAAAGCATCACAACAATATAGGTCCCAAAATAAACAGGAAATGGTTGAATTAAAGAAAAATCTGCTTCAAAGAGAAGAAGAAATTTCTTCACTCCAAAGGGAATTAGCCAAGATCAGCCATGAATCGTCTCACAGTTATCAAGATAATTCAGTCAAAGAAAGTGAAATAGAAATTTCCAAGTTGAATGAGCAAATTTCAGAAAGTAAACTAAGAACCACAGACTTAGAAAAATCTATTTTGGATCTTCAGATGGAAAAAGAAAAGCTTCATATAGCATGTGAAGAGCTTAAACAACAGTTGCAAATAGCTAGTAGCGAGAAAAACAAGATTGCCTTTGAAAAGGATACCATGCTGGAGGCTTTGAAAACAGAAAAAGGTCGATTAGAAAATGAACTAAACCAGACTGAAAGCCAGTTATTGGAACAGGCTCATAAATATGAGCAAACCATTGAAGAGTTGTCAAATGCACGCAACATGGACACCACTGCATTACAGCTTGACCATGAACGCTTAGTTAAGCTCAATCAAGAGAGAGACTTTGAGATCACAGAACTTAAGAGGAACATTGAGCAGATGGAAGTTGATCATGAGGAAACTAAAGAGATGTTAACAAGTAGCTTAGCCGGTCAGAAACAACTGACAGAGCTCATCAAAGAGAAAGAGGTTTTTGTTGAAAAGTTTAAAAGAAGAGCCTATGAATTGGAGCAGCAACATGAAGATTATGCTAAGGATTCCAAAAGACTTGAACTTTTAAAGCAAAGTTTAGAAGAAAAAGAGAAAATCCTTTCAGCCATGAAAGAAGAGAACAATCATTTGAAAGAAGAAATTGAACGTCTGAAAGATCAACAAAATAGGTCCACTCCTTTGGCAGAGCCAAAAACCCTGGATATCATCACTGAATTAGAAGCAGAAATAACTCAGTTAACTATATTTAAAAATAATCTTGAAGAAGAAGGGAAAAGGAGCAAAAGGATGCTTGAGGATCAAAATCAGAAAATGGCCCAGCTTCAGCAATCCTTGCAGGAATATAAAAAGGAGATAGAGCAGAACAGATTTCAGCAGGAACAAATGAACCTTACACACAAACAAGTGTGTTTGGAAAAGGATGAGGAAATTAAAAGCCTGCAGAGGACAATAGAACAATTGCACAATCAGAGAAAGGTCATTCAGCCAGATCCTGCTGATCTCTTCCAAGTAACCAAAGTGCAAACACTTAATGGCGAAAATGGGAATGAGAAACATGATTTATCTAAAGCTGAGATTGAAAAACTGGTCAAAGGCATCAAGGAGAGAGAAATGGAAATCAAACTTCTGAATGAACAGAATGTCTCTCTAAGTAAACAAATAGATCAGTTATCCAAAGATGAAGTTGGCAAACTTACACAGATCATTCAAGAGAAAAACTTAGAGATCCAAGCTCTCCATGCCAGGGTCTCCTCTCCACCGTATAGGCAGGATGTTCTTTACCTCCAACAACAATTGCAAGCCTATGCCATGGAAAGAGAGCAAGTGCTGGCAGTTCTCAGTGAGAAGACCAGGGAGAACAGTCAATTGAAGACAGATTATCACAAGATGATGGATATCGTAGCAGCTAAGGAAGCAGCCCTAAAGAAGCTGCAAGAAGAAAACCAAAAGCTAGCCAGTGAATTTGAAAGTAGCAGTCAAGACATGTCCCGAGAAACTATTAAAAACTTGTCCCGTATTATTAGAGAAAAAGACATTGAGATTGATGCTTTAAGTCAGAAGTGCCAAACTTTATTGACTGTCCTTCAGACATCCAGCGCCGGCGCAGGCAGTGACTTAGGAGGAATCAATAGCAATCAGTTTGAAGAGCTTTTGCAGGAGCGTGATAAGCTGAAACAGCAAGTTAAGAAAATGGAAGAGTGGAAGAAGCAGGTAATGACCACTGTCCAGAATATGCAACACGAGTCTGCTCATCTCCAAGTAGAACTACAGAGCCTTCAGGCACAGATTTCAACTGACAGTGAGAATAATTCTCAGTTGCAAATCAAATATAATGGCTTAATCCAGGGCTATGAGCAGAATGAGCAAAAGTTGAAAACATTCAGTCAGGAATTAGTCCATGTTCAACATAGTATAGGAGAGCTTAATAATACCAAGGATATAATTTTGGGTAAGCTTGATATAGTAACACCACCTCTGCCAGAAAACTCTCCTGCAAGTGGACAGCCACAAAACATTCCTAGTAGAGCAGTTTCTCAGGTGCTTCCCAGTGAGACCAAACTACTCTGTGAGGAACTGGAACGCATGGCAAAAACATTGGAGGAAAAAGATGCAACAATCCAGACTCTGCAGGAAAATAATCAGAGGTTGTCCGATTCTGTGGCTGCATCATCAGAAATGGGGCGGAAGTGTCAAGTAGAATCTGACCTGGAAATGAAACAGCTCAGGGAGAGGTGTGATGTTTTGCAGAAATCACTCAGGGAAAAAGATCTGTTAATAAAATCAAAAAGTGATCAGTTAGCTTCTCTAAATGAAAACCTTAGTAATAAAGAGAATGAAAATGAGCTGCTGAAACAAGGTGTAACTAACCTAAAAGAGAGGACTTTTGTTTTGGAAATGGATCTCTGTAAATTGAAAGAGGAAAATGATAGAATAGTGATGAGATGCCAGGAAAAAGAAACAGAATTTCGAGCACTGCAAGAGACCAACATGCAGTTTTCCATGATGTTGAGAGAGAAGGAATTTGAATCACAATCCATGAAGGAGAAAGCTCTCACATTTGAAAAAATGTTGAAAGAGAGAGAACAGGTGTGTGATGAATTAAATTCTTATTTTGTACTAGCCATCCCCTGCCACGCGTTACTATGGCCCAGTCTGTGTGTGTGTGTGTATGTATATATGTGGTTTTGCGCATGTATTGTAATGTATTTTTTAAAAAAAAATTGGTTTTAAAGTCTCTTCCACTATGTTTTTCAGTGTTTTTATGAGTGGTGGTCACTCATTGGCCTGATAGTGTATTGTGTCCAAATTTGGTATCAACTCGCCCAGTGGTTTTTGAGTTATATTAATCCCACAAATGAACATTACATTTTTATTTATATAGATTATATAGATTGATGTGGGTCCCCAGATGTTTTGGCCTTCCAAGTCCCAGAAATTTTAACAGCTGGTAAACTGGGTGAGATTTCTGGGAGTTGTTGGCCAAAACACCTGGGGACCCACAGGTTGAGAACCATTGGGGTAAAGGATATGTCTTATATCTTACAATACATGTTACTGGAGCATATGTAGAATTCTGGGAAAAGCTACAATAGAAAAGAGCTTCCACATTCAGACCCCAGCAAGCTAATATTCTTTATACTGACAAGCAGAGGTGTCAACTTATGGCCCTCCAGATGTTTGGGCCTCCACCTCCCAGAAGCCCTAGCCAGCTTGTTCAAAGACATTTGAGGAACTGATGTCCAAAACACCTGGAGGGCCACAAATGTGACACCATCAAAGGCTTATTTATGAGAAAAAGGAGTGGAACTATTCTGGTATATATTTATATATATATATATATATATGTTTTTAGCTGTGTTTGTGCTGTGTTTTTCTCCATGCAATGTGTCCAATATGACTTAGATAATATATAGCAACTATATGGCCATTCAGTGCTTATTTTTATAGTAACAGAAGGTCAGCCTTTAAAATGCCTAAGATCTCTTTATTTCTGTTAGCAAAAGGGAAATGCAGGGGAGCTAAACCAACTGCTGAATGAAGCGAAGTCTATGCAAGAAAAAGCTGTTGCTTTTCAGCATGAGAGGGATCAAGTCATGTTGGCACTCAAGCAGAAACAAATGGAGACTACTGCCCTGCAGAATGAGGTATGGGGTGGCAATGGTTAAACAGAGGGTTGGACTGGGTGGCCGTTATGGTCTCTTCCAACTCTATGATTCTATGAAACAAAAGAGTGGGAGGTGAATAGAAAAACTGAAGGAATGTATCCCCAATATCATGCAGATGCAGCATTTACGTGATAAGGAGCAACGCCTTAATCAAGAACTAGAGAGGTTACGCAACCACCTTTTGGAAAGGGAAGACACCTCCACACGTGAAGCTTTAGCTGCAGAAGATCGGGAGTCGAAACTCCGAAAGAAAGTTCAGATTTTGGAGGAAAAGCTGCAGTCTTCATCAACTGCAGTAGAAAATGCTAGGTAATACTTTGTTTCTTTTACTCCTGAATGTCTTGTCAGCAGCTACTTGAGGTTATTTTACAGAAGTTCAGTAGCACTCATCCAAAAATCCCGTGTGTATTTGGTTCTCTTTCTTGACTCCTTTCAGAAAGTAATGCATTTATCAGTGGAAAATGTCTCTATGCAATACAGACATCACTGAATACTAATGTTCAGCCTTTGCAGGCCTTTAACCACAACTTGGGCACATTTCTCATTTCTATTTAATGTTGAAGGTACATACTTTCTGCCATGGTGCTTCTTCTGTTGCTACCACATAATGGCAGATTTAATAGGGATATGAAAATAAGCATAAACAAGTGCAGAATATGTAAGGTTTTTGTGATAGAAAAAAAGGGACTAATGGAGGATATGATAAACTTTCAAAAGACTATGCTTGGTCTGGGAAACTGGATAAAAAATCTTCCTTTCCCATAATAGTAGAACATTTTTTTTGTCATGTCAAGAGTGACTTGAGAAACTGCAAGTCGCTTCTGGCGTGAGAGAATTGGCCATCTGCAAGGACGTTGCCCAGGGGACGCCCGGATGTTTTGATGTTTTTCTCATCCTTGTGGAATGCTTTTCTCATGTCCCCACATGAGGAGCTGGAGCTGACAGAGGGAGCTCATCCGCACTCTCTCCGGATTCAAACCTACAACCTGTCGGTTTTCAGTCCTGCCGGCACAGGGGTTTAACCCACTATGCCACCAGAGGCTCCATACTAGAACATGTGATGATACAATGTTGATTAGTAGGTTATTGCAGGAAAACAAACCCCAGATCTGTGGAGGATACATCCCCGAACTTTCCATGGAAACAGGAAATTGTGGATAATAGTGAAACCTATTGAAATGAGTGGCTTCTAGTAACCATAGAGTCACTCTGGAGAACTTTATCTTCGACAATACCTTAAATGTTATCTTCTCTAAGAATTTGCTAGACCCCCCCCCCCAAGAGCAACTCTGTGGTACTATCTGCCAGAATCATGCCATAAAATCAAGTGGAGGACCTCGATATATATATATTGTCTGATGTAGATAAGTAAAACCTAACTGAGTCATATTGTACTGCTTCATACAGGGCCACAGGATTGGTGATGACCACTAGTAAGCTAAAGGGTAAAGGTTTCCCCTTGGCATTAAGTCTAGTCATGTCCAACTCTTGGGGGTGGCGCTCATCTACATTTTTAAGCCGAAGAGCTGGTGTTGTCCTTAGACGCCTCTAAGGTCATGTGGTCGGCATGACTGCAAGTTCAGCAGCTCAGCAATTTAACCAGGTGCACCATCAGAGGCTGTAGTAACCTAGTGTTTTTTTTTTCAAATTTATAAAGAAGAGTGGTAGTTACTACATGTCATAGATTATTGGGACTTCCATTTTACTGTGGCAGTAAACATTTGAATGCTAGTTGCTCAGGAGCAATATTGTAAAAGGGCTATTATCTCCTTGGCCACGATGGGTCATTCTTGGAGACAAGATACTGGATTCGATTGACATCTTAGAAAGTGCAGGACATATTAGCGAGTGCAGGTTTTAACTTTTTTCCACCCCTGCCTTATGACCACAATGCCATGTGGCTTCATTGAGATTCCAGGAAGAGGCATGAGGATAGACCTCCATCTCCAGCAGTGCAGCTAGAATTGCCATTTCCACACTGTGTACCAGTTTGCTTAGTGGCTGATAAGCTGACAAGACAAACATATGGTAAAGACTCTCCTGAACATTCACCACAGGAAAGCCGGCACATGTATGCAGTCATATGGAGAAATGCATGCTGTTTTTAGATCCAAGCTTGATATCTTATAATATGGTCATCGACTCATCCTGACTTAGTTTAAGCATTGCATTTCTGCTAAGTAAGGTCATTTTTATGTGTCCTCCGCCTACCCTCCTTTTTATTTACGTCTCTGTGGAAAGCAAATGCCTCTTTATATAAATAGAGTCGTTTCCTGAATAGAATAGATTGTTTTTCTAACAGCTGTCTTTACTTCTGAGCCAGGACGTTGATTAGTCTTTTTTAATAGTGCAGAGGGGATCGCTTCAACTATTATTCCTGGAAATACTGTCTATAGCAGCTGTTTTTATTTTTATAAGTTGATTGAAGCGATTGCCAGATGCTTAGAATCCAAAATGAGAGGTTTTTTTCTAAAAAATATCCTAATTGTGTGTGTGCGTATATATTATTTTATTTTGCTTGTAGCCATCAAGCGAGTATGCAGGTGGAATCCTTGCAAGAGCAATTGGATCTCGTAACTAGGCACAGGGATGAAACTGTGCTTCAGCTAACAATTTCACAAGACCAAGTGAAACAGTATGCAATGTCCCTGGCCAATCTGCAGATGGTGCTAGAGCAGTTTCAGCGAGGTAGGTTAACTCACCAGGTGTGATGTGAAAATTGCCATAAATACTTTGTGTGTGTATGTTTTAAAAAGAGCTACAATTCTGTAACAATCTTTAAAATGAGCAATTCCTTTAAAATCTTACATTACCTAACATTTGGAAACATTAAAGGGATGGTGGGAGCTGATTATTAGATATGCTTAATGGGACTTTTTTTTCTTCAGAAGAGAAAGCCATGTATTCAGCAGAGTTACAAAAACATCAAAGGCAGACTGCAGAGTGGAAGAAAAAAGCAGAACAGCAGGAAGAGAAAGTTATTTCATTGCAGGTAGGATAAGATGGTGGCAGAATGCAATCTGTTTTGATTTCAATTAGTAAGGCAAATAAGGACAGCAATGGCAGAAAGAGCCAAAAAATGGAAATTAATTAGAAGGTCCATAAAAAGATAAGATCATCTTAAAGTCAAGTTAAGGTTTTGGGACAGGAATAGAACATACCTGATCTTGCCTGGATTTTTTTTCCAGAAATGACTCATAGGAGCTTCCTGTAAAAAGTTTGGGGGATGTAGACCAAATGAATAAAATAACATTTATTTTAAACTAAAATTTGCTGTATCAGTAGATATGCCGCTATGACAAATAAGTGCTATAATGACCTGTTTCATTTTAACAGGAAAAGTTAGAAGAAGCTAATGAAGCATTGGATTCTGCATCAAGGTTAACAGAACAGCTGGATCTCAAAGAAGAGCAAATTGAGGAGCTTAAAAAACAAGGTAACAAGATTCTTTGAAGTTTTTGCACAAAGTAGTCTGTCATGAATACCTCTATAAATGCAGGAAATCTGTTAGAACCTATTTTTCATTCTGCAGTGAATGTCGTAAAGTGTGTCCCTCACTCCCCAGTCCCAAATTCTTGCATCAACATTTCTGTTTTAAGTTGTATTCAAGGAATCTGCCTCACCCTGATTCACCCTTGTCAGTATGCCTCCTTTCTCTGATTAGACAATTGGGAACAGCATATTCTTTAAGTTCAACATAGAAGATATCTAGTATTATGTGTTGTCGAAGGCTTTCATGGTTGGAATAACTGGGTTGCTGTGAGTTTTCCGGGCTGCATGGCCATGTTCCAAAAGCATTCTCTCCTGAAGTTTCATCCACAACTCTGGAAGGCATCCTCAGAGGTTGAAGGGTCTGTTGGAAATTAGGCAACTGAGGTTTATATATCTGTGGAATGTCCAGGGTGGGAGAAAGAACTCTTTGTCTGCTTGAGGCAGGTGTGAATGTTGCAATTGGCCACCTTGATTAGCATTGAATGGCCTTGCAGCTTCAGAGCCTGGCTGCTTCCTGCCTGGGGGAATCTTTTGTTGGGAGGTCTTAGCTAGCCCTGATTGATTCTAATCTGGAATTCTCCTGCTTTTTTAGTGTTGATCTTTATTTACTGTTCTGATTCTAAAGTTTTTAAATACTGGTAGCCAGATTTTGTTCATTTTTGTTGTTTCTTCCTTTTTGTTGAAATCGTCCACATGCTTGTTATTTCAATGGCTCGTATTATCTTTGAGATTAAGTGAGAGAGCAAAGTTGTAGCTTAAGCATTTACAGACTCAGTCTACTTCCTCAGATGCATGGGGTGAACTGGTGCCTAGAAGCGGACTGTTATAATCAGACGGTATTAATAGCCATAAAATGTGAAAGTAGTGGATATAGTGATGAGGTGACAAATTAAGTTTTAACAACAGATCATTGAGGGACAATGGCAGGATAAAAGACGTTTCCTAAGGCCCGAGTGGGTGGACGACTACCTGAATGGTGGAGGGAGTTTTGACATGTGGTGTGATTCTGACTGGTAACCAGAAAGGAGATTTATAAACTGTCCAAGAGCACCCTCATGAGGTTGAGGACTTAACTGTTATTGTATTACATGTAGTGTGCCAGGAAGCTGGATCAGCTCCATGCATCTCTAGTGAATGTGAGTGGCTTTCTCCATCGCTTCATGATAATTCATAAAACTTCTCTTTGGTCACAAAAACCAGATGGTTTGAGCATCCTTTAAGAAACTGTATACTTAGACTAGATTTTGGTCATTTCTGAAAGAAGTTGGGATCAATGCTTGCAAGCATTTTTATGTCAACCAGCAAACTTCTCTTCTGCTTCTTCAAGGGACTGATTGTAACAGAAATACAAGAAGGCTGTTTAGCGATGGTGCTCTTTAGCTAATTTAAAGATCATCCATTGTTTGAACCCAAAATTCCAGTCATGCAAGAGCTCTATCTCACTCTCCTTTCTACTGCTGCCCTCCATGCCTACTAATGGTGTGTGGGAAGGTGCTCAAAGAGTTATTGAGGAAGGGAGGGAATTGAAGGAATAACTTGCTCAAATTGAGTGCCTTTTCATTTGCAGAGGGTCTGTTTTGTACCTAACAATGTATTTTTGAAGTTGGGAGTGTCTATCCTAATGCTTAAATTCCTGTTTTAAGTTGATCATTTAACTAAAGGAAATTCTTCTCAAAAGAGAAGAGGCTATTGCCAGAACAGGAAGACTGAATGAAGCCTTTCTGTCCTATAGGACAGAAAATGCAGATTGTGGGAAGTAAATTGTTCTCTCTTTATTCTTGTTTTATAATATGTGTGCCTTAGAGAGGAGACCGAGGAGCTGTAGCAAGTTGGCTGATTTTTTTTCTTGTAGGGACCTACCCTACAACTAGTATGCTATCTCAGTTATTATCCAAAACAAGACCAGGGCTTCTTAAACTTTTTCCTGTAGTGACCTGTTTTCATCTGAGATTTTGGGTATATAGGGATATAAAATAGGTAGGAAAAAATAATAATTCAGCATTTGCAAGGCTTACTAAATAGACTGATTTTCCTTTAGATGAAGTACAGATTACAGCAATCCCTGCCAAAGCATTTTCTGCAGAGCCTGCTGTAATCTGCACATTCTTCCTAACAGATTTGTGTAAATGGTTGGAGTTAAGAAACTTTTTACTGTTGCCAAAATTCTTATGACCCCAACATTGAGCTAAAGGAACCTCATTTGAGGTCGGGACCCACAGTTTAAGAAGAAGCGATCTAGAGGATCAGTGGCAGAGAGATACTGTTCTAGATTCAGAAATCTTCCATTTAAACAAAGATTTATCACTCTTACATTTTTTTTTTGTACAGCAACAGGCATGGAAATCACATTAAGGTGCTCCTCCCAAACTCCATATCCTATAAGGAGTAAACAAAATTGTTGATTGCTGTTATCTGGTTTCTGAAAAACATGAATCAAATGCTTATAGTGCACACAAATGCAAATATTGGTGAAAAATAATGTCCAAAAGGCACAAAATTAGGAAAACTGCTTGTAAAATGTATGTATTTTGCAAAGATATATACCAATAGAAATGCACATAAAAGTCATATAGATTTTCTTGTAGCTTTTCCCCCCAAATAACAAATTTATACAGAATCCGCATCTAATTGACATAAAATAGAAAAAAATAGAGATCAGAACTGGCATTGATCCCTAGTCTATATATTACATAGTGTGCTTACTGGAAAACTTGCCAATTTTGGGGGGTTTGATTAAACACTCCAAAGTGTTGAGGAAATACTTTTGTAATGTATTTTAACATGCCTTTTGGCCAGACAGCTGAAAGGCTTGCCAGGAGAAACATTGGTTTAATAAAAGATAATGGCTCTTGTTGTATGAGAGAACCTGAAACCAAACATGTAGGGACTAGCCTCCTTACTTCTAAACTGTTTTGAGAATAACGATCTCTTGACATTTTAGTAAAGTATAATTAAGGTTCTTTCTGTAAGAATTTTATTTATCATATAGATGCATCTTGAGTCTCATAGATATTTCATAGAGAAAGTTTGTCAGCAGCATGAGCAAGCTAAGCATACTTAACCTCTATGAAAAACTGGTTCTTCAAATCTGTTATTGATGCTTCCTTATTACTGAGAGTTGTTTCTTTGGACTGACATAATCAGACACTGGAATTGCAAAAGAAATGGTCTTCCTGGTCTTCCTAATATTTCTGAATGACAGGCAACAGCCTACTGATAACACAGCTCGAGAGTGTGATTGAGAATTTGTTCACTTATGAGGAAGTCCCCCCACAATATCTTCTAACATTTGAGTTCATACAGATGCTGCATTAGGATAGATGATGTGCTTAATCTAAACCTTGCTTTGTCCCTGATGCCTTAGAACTCACAGCATCCAAAATACCTTTTTTAAAGCTTTTATTTCACTCATCATCCATGTGAAAGGGTTTCAAGAGAAAAGTGAGCAAGCAAGCCTTCTGCATTTAGGCTCAGCATTATTGGCCCATTGTTTACTTTGTGCTTAAAAGGGGAGTGTGGGTCTTCTTGATGTTTGTTTAGACCATTTAATCAGGCTCCCAATGTAGCAAAAGCAACTCAAGGCAGCTCAGTAAATCAAAATTAATACAAACTATAAAAAGTCTCGAAGGAGCCATCCTGTGTTTGAGTTGTCCTAAGCAAAAGAAGAAAAAATGCAATCTTTTTCCAGCAGTGGCTTCTGTACCCCCTTGATCATCAGATGGGAAAATAATGATTGGGGTCAGTGGGGATTTGGCCACAGAGAAAAGGCCACAGTAGGTCATCATTGATTGCACAAGAAGTTGCAATGTTTATGGATTCATTGTATAAACACTGCCTTACATTCCAGCTGTGTGTTGCAGTTTTTACTTTCATAGAAAAATATTGCAGAAAGAATACGCAAGCTGTAGCTAAGGTTCTACATTCTCACACCTTTTGGATAGTCTTGATGAATGTGGCAGAGACAATTCGTTTTCATTTTTATAGTATGTTATAAACAAACAAAATCCTGGGGTTTGCAGATTGGTTAAAAAACATGTAAGTGATAGGATATTTTTTTTCATGATGTTGTCACTTACTAGCAAAGGTGGAATTTGTTGGTGCCATGCCTTACTGTGCTAGAGGGAAAATGTGTATGTGTGCCTTCAAGTCGCTTATTGCTTTATGGTGGCCTCAGGAATTTCATAGCGTTTTCTTAAACAAGGAATATTCATAGGCGGTTTTGCTAGTTCCTTCTTCTGAAGTATAGTGTACAGCACCTGCATTCATAGGTGATCTCCCATCCAAGTATTAACCAGGACCGATCCTGTTTAACTTCCAAGATCAGATAGAATCTAGAGCAGTGGTTCTCAACCTATGGATCCCCAGATGTTTTGGTCTTCAACTCCCAGAAATCCTAACAGCTGGTAAATTGATTTCTGGGAGTTGTAGGCCAAAACATCTGGGGACCCACAGATTGACAACCACTGCAGAGAATTTGGGGTATTTAGGCCAGGAAGCAAATAGAATAGCACAGTAAAGCTGCTTCTGTGTGCTAAATGTTGATGCATCTCCAGACAAGGATGTAAATCATGGCACATTCCACTGGAATCAGGGACATATCCCTTCCTTGTGATCTGGCCATCTGTTTTGTGTATTGCCATATGGAACTGGTCTAGAATTAACCATTGCTGGGAGTAGCAGTTAAACTAAAGGCCACTGGATATTGCAGCAAGCAAGATGTTAAATCATAAATAGTTTTTAAAAGCCAAAGTCTTAGTTTGTTTTAAGCCAAAGGTTTTCCACACTTAACTGGGAAGTGAGATAACTTATTTTTACTATTCTATGCCTTTGAATCCTTGTCCAAACAAAAATGATTAAGAATTTGGTTCATTGTTAGAATAAACCTTTCTCTTAATAACATCAAATCTCTATTGGATTAAAATTCGAAACTACATAAAAGGCCTT